TATTCTCAGATTTGAAGCCGAAATCTATGAAAAAAGGAACTCAGAAAAATTGAAAAATTGATAAATCACCCCAAATTGCTTAACACGATTTTATCTCAGGAACTATAAGGGCAAATGAGCTGAAATTTTCAGGGATTGTAGTCCTTTGGAAGGGATGAAATTCAGTGAAAGATTCAGCTTTGTATCTATAATAGAAAAAAAGTTACGACATTTGAAAGTTTTCCGAAAAAATCATAAGGGGGGTACCTTCTTACTAAAATGAAGAAATTTCAATTTTTTTTATGTCGAGATTTTGGGTTCTAATGGTCCCTCGTGATACCCTGAACTCCATACACAAAATGATTCTCAGATTTGAAGCCGAAATCTATGAAAAAAGGCACTCAGAAAAATTGAAAAATTGATAAATCACCCCTAATTGCTTAACACGATTTTATCTCAGGAACTATAAGGGCAAATGAGCTGAAATTTTCAGGGATTGTAGTCCTTTGGAAGGGATGAAATTCAGTGAAAGATTCAGCTTTCTATCTATAATAGAAAAAAAGTTACGACATTTGAAAGTTTTCCGAAAAAATCATAAGGGGGGTACCTTCTTACTAAAATGAAGAAATTTCATTTTTTTTTTTGTCGAGATTTTGGGTCCTACTGGTCCCTCGTGATACCCTGAATTCCATACACAAAATTATTCTCAGATTTGAAGCCGAAATCTATGAAAAAAGGCACTCAGAAAAATTGAAAAATTGATAAATCACCCTAATTGCTAAACACGATTTTATCTCAGGAACTATAAGGGCAAATGAGCTGAAATTTTCAGGGATTGTAGTCCTTTGGAAGGGATGAAATTCAGTGAAAGATTCAGCTTTCTATCTATAATAGAAAAAAAGTTACGACATTTGAAAGTTTTCCGAAAAAATCATAAGGGGGGTACCTTCTTACTAAAATGAAGAAATTTCAATTTTTTTTATGTCGAGATTTTGGGTTCTAATGGTCCTTCGTGATACTCTGAACTCCATACACAAAATTATTCTCAGATTTGAAGCCGAAATCTATGAAAAAAGGAACTCAGAAAAATTGAAAAATTGATAAATCACCCCAAATTGCTTAACACGATTTTATCTCAGGAACTATAAGGGCAAATGAGCTGAAATTTTCAGGGATTGTAGTCCTTTGGAAGGGATGAAATTCAGTGAAAGATTCAGCTTTCTATCTATAATAGAAAAAAAAGTTACGACATTTGAAAGTTTTCCGAAAAAATCATAAGGGGGGTACCTTCTTACTAAAATGATGAAATTTCAATTTTTTTTTAGTCGAGATTTTGGGTTCTAATGGTCCTTCGTGATACTCTGAACTCCATACACAAAATTATTCTCAGATTTGAAGCCGAAATCTATGAAAAAAGGAACTCAGAAAAATTGAAAAATTGATAAATCACCCCAAATTGCTTAACACGATTTTATCTCAGGAACTATAAGGGCAAATGAGCTGAAATTTTCAGGGATTGTAGTCCTTTGGAAGGGATGAAATTCAGTGAAAGATTCAGCTTTGTATCTATAATAGAAAAAAAGTTACGACATTTGAAAGTTTTCCGAAAAAATCATAAGGGGGGTACCTTCTTACTAAAATGAAGAAATTTCAATTTTTTTTTTGTCGAGATTTTGGTTCCTACTGGTCCCTCGTGATACCCTGAATTCCATACACAAAATTATTCTCAGATTTGAAGCCGAAATCTATGAAAAAAGGCACTCAGAAAAATTGAAAAATTGATAAATCACCCTAATTGCTAAACACGATTTTATCTCAGGAACTATAAGGGCAAATGAGCTGAAATTTTCAGGGATTGTAGTCCTTTGGAAGGGATGAAATTCAGTGAAAGATTCAGCTTTCTATCTATAATAGAAAAAAAGTTACGACATTTGAAAGTTTTCCGAAAAAATCATAAGGGGGGTACCTTCTTACTAAAATGAAGAAATTTCAATTTTTTTTATGTCGAGATTTTGGGTCCTACTGGTCCCTCGTGATACCCTGAACTCCATACACAAAATGATTCTCAGATTTGAAGCCGAAATCTATGAAAAAAGGCACTCAGAAAAATTGAAAAATTGATAAATCACCCCTAATTGCTTAACACGATTTTATCTCAGGAACTATAAGGGCAAATGAGCTGAAATTTTCAGGGATTGTAGTCCTTTGGAAGGGATGAAATTCAGTGAAAGATTCAGCTTTCTATCTATAATAGAAAAAAAGTTACGACATTTGAAAGTTTTCCGAAAAAATCATAAGGGGGGTACCTTCTTACTAAAATGATGAAATTTCAATTTTTTTTTAGTCGAGATTTTGGGTTCTAATGGTCCTTCGTGATACTCTGAACTCCATACACAAAATTATTCTCAGATTTGAAGCCGAAATCTATGAAAAAAGGAACTCAGAAAAATTGAAAAATTGATAAATCACCCCAAATTGCTTAACACGATTTTATCTCAGGAACTATAAGGGCAAATGAGCTGAAATTTTCAGGGATTGTAGTCCTTTGGAAGGGATGAAATTCAGTGAAAGATTCAGCTTTGTATCTATAATAGAAAAAAAGTTACGACATTTGAAAGTTTTCCGAAAAAATCATAAGGGGGGTACCTTCTTACTAAAATGAAGAAATTTCAATTTTTTTTTTGTCGAGATTTTGGGTCCTACTGGTCCCTCGTGATACCCTGAATTCCATACACAAAATTATTCTCAGATTTGAAGCCGAAATCTATGAAAAAAGGCACTCAGAAAAATTGAAAAATTGATAAATCACCCTAATTGCTAAACACGATTTTATCTCAGGAACTATAAGGGCAAATGAGCTGAAATTTTCAGGGATTGTAGTCCTTTGGAAGGGATGAAATTCAGTGAAAGATTCAGCTTTGTATCTATAATAGAAAAAAAGTTACGACATTTGAAAGTTTTCCGAAAAAATCATAAGGGGGGTACCTTCTTACTAAAATGAAGAAATTTCAATTTTTTTTTTGTCGAGATTTTGGGTCCTACTGGTCCCTCGTGATACCCTGAATTCCATACACAAAATTATTCTCAGATTTGAAGCCGAAATCTATGAAAAAAGGCACTCAGAAAAATTGAAAAATTGATAAATCACCCCTAATTGCTTAACACGATTTTATCTCAGGAACTATAAGGGCAAACGAGCTGAAATTTTGAGGGATTGTAGTCCTTTGGAAGGGATGAAATTCAGTGAAAGATTCAGCTTTCTATCTATAATAGAAAAAAAGTTACGACATTTGAAAGTTTTCCGAAAAAATCATAAGGGGGGTACCTTCTTACTAAAATGATGAAATTTCAATTTTTTTTTTGTCGAGATTTTGGGTTCTAATGGTCCTTCGTGATACTCTGAACTCCATACACAAAATGATTCTCAGATTTGAAGCCGAAATCTATGGAAAAAGGCACTCAGAGAAATTGAAAAATTGATAAATCACCCCAAATTGCTTAACACAATTTTATCTCAGGCACTATAAGTGCAAATGAGCTGATATTTTCAGGGATTGTAGACCTTTGAAAGGGATAAAATTCAGTGAAAGTTTCAGCTTTCTATCTATAATAGAAAAAAAGTTATGACCTTTCAAAGTTTTCCAAAATCTAAATCCTAAGGTAGGTACCTTCTTACTAAAACGATGAAATTTCAAATTTTTTTTTGTCGAGATTTCCTATCCTAATGGTCAATTAACATCCCCCAAACTCCATACACTAAATTACTCCCAGATTTGAAGCCGAAATCTATGAAAAAAGGCACTCAGAAAAATTGAAAAATTGATAAATCACCCCAAATTGCTTAACACGATTTTATCTCAGGAACTATAAGTGCAAATGAGCTGATATTTTCAGGGATTGTAGACCTTTGAAAGGGATAAAATTCAGTGAAAGTTTCAGCTTTCTATCTAAGATAGAAAAAAAGTTATGACCTTTCAAATTTTTCCAAAATCTAAATCCTAAGGTAGGTACCTTCTTACTAAAACGATGAAATTTCAAATTTTTTGTTGTTGAGATTTTATGTCCTAATGGTCAATTAAAATCCCCCAAACTCCATACACTAAATTATTCCCAGATTTGAAGCCGAAATCTATGGAAAAAGGCACTCAGAGAAATTGAAAAATTGATAAATCACCCCAAATTGCTTAACACGATTTTATCTCAGGAACTATAAGTGCAAATGAGCCGATATTTTCAGGGATTGTAGACCTTTGAAAGGGATAAAATTCAGTGAAAGTTTCAGCTTTCTATCTATAATAGAAAAAAAGTTATGACCTTTCAAAGTTTTCCAAATTCTAAATCATAAGGTAGGTACCTTCTTACTAAAACGATGAAATTTCAAATTTTTTTTTGTTGAGATTTTATGTCCTAATGGTCAATTAACATCCCCCAAACTCCATACACTAAATTATTCCCAGATTTGAAGCCGAAATCTATGGAAAAAGGCACTCAGAGAAATTGAAAAATTGATAAATCACCCTAAATTGCTTAACACGATTTTATCTCAGGCACTATAAGTGCAAATGAGCTGATATTTTCAGGGATTGTAGACCTTTGAAAGGGATAAAATTCAGTGAAAGTTTCAGCTTTCTATCTATAATAGAAAAAAAGTTATGACCTTTCAAAGTTTTCCAAAATCTAAATCCTTCCTACTAAAACGAGATTTTGTATCCTAATGGTCAATCAACATCGCCCAAACTCCATACACTAAATTATTCTCAGATTTGAAGCCGAAATCTATAAAAAAAGGCACTTAGAAAGTGAACGGTAGTTGATTTAGGGTCCTTATTCTTGAAATAGGGGAGCAGCGTTCCTAGGAGAACGAGTGTTTCGTCATTGTTAGTTACTTTATCATTGAGAAAGACAGAACACTCATTCTCTTGGGAACACTACTCCCCTGTTTCAACAATAAGAACCCAGTAGGAGTCAACGATATATCTTGCCAGGTAGTTTACTTTTACAAAAGAATATTGAAATAAAACAAAAACTTTGCATAAAGGAAAACCTTCTTTATTTAGAAAATGAATAAATTTCGAAAAAACATTGAACTCTAATAATATTACTAATAATTTAAATAAATTTGGAAGGAAATACATTATAAATAATAGAAACTTTAAAAGCATAAAATAGTACAAAAATAATAGCAAAGATGGAACTTAGAGCCAGCTATCACTTGAAACCAAAAACTTCCTGGCTCTAACTACCAATTCAATCTCATTGTTGTTTGCATTGCTCCTGATTCTTGCCACCTTCGCCCACATTGGTATCAGAATCGCAGTCTTCCTCATCATCTTCATCTTCCTCTTCTTCCTCAAAGTCTTCATCTTCATCTTCAACACCTTCTCCAGTGAAATAGAGCACCGCTCTTGGTACCACACGTTCTCTTATGTAGTGACCAATTTCAAAGTCACTGGTTAGCAAATTGCGCAAATCTTCATCAACATCTTCTTCTTTGGTGTCTTCTGGAATTGTGGGGGGCGTGAAAAAGTTGAAAAAGGAGTCGTTTTGCATGGTTTTCGTTACGACTCTTACTACACCGCGGCTCTTGTGCTTTTGCTTCTTTTTGACTGTTTTAACAGTCACATTTTTACCCTAAATATAACAAGGTTAAGAATGATGTTACAATAAATGAAAAATGTTTGAACAGTAAACGGAGCAGAGCACAAAATACCAAAACAGAAGGCAATAAATTGCGCGACATTTTAGCTTTATGTGTCTGCACGGGACTTTCAAAATTTGCTTTGCCTGCGTGCATCAAGATGTTTTTTATTGAAAAGAAAAAACCTCTCAAATATCACAGGCTTGTAGTAGTGTTTGTAGATCATAATCACCTTATTCCAATTGATGGTGCAGCCGGTGCATTTGAAAATCTCTGGGCCTTCAAAGCCAAACGGGTCGTCTTCGTCAGGGGTGCATTTCATCAGATACTCCTTGGTGAGGACGGTGTTTGTGAAATATTCGTTGGGGGTGAAGTGGAATTCTAAGGTGAAACTCTGCAAAAGGGAAAGGTCGAGGAAAATTTCATTTTTGGTGTTCAAAGAGTAAAATTCATTGGAGAGTGAGGGGAAATCTCTAAGGTGAAACTCTCAAAAGGTCTGTTCTCCCAAGAGCCTCTTACAGTTTACAAACTATCAGAGACTCTTGTGAGAACAGACCCAAAGAGTAACTCTGCAACAGGAATAGATAAAGACATTTTTATTTTGGGTGTTCAAAGAGTAAAATTCGTTGGGAGTCAAGGGAGAAATTCTATGGTGAAACTCTGTAACAGGTAAGGGGAGAAATTTTTAATTTGGATGTTCAGAAAGTCTGTTCTCACAAGAGTTTCTAACAAACAGATTCTTATGAGAAATGACCTGAAGAGTAAAATTTCTTGGAGGTGAAGGGAAATTCTTAGGTGAAGAAACTTTTTTTTAAAATGGAATCAAGTGTTCAAAGAGTAAACGGAGCAGAGCAAACAGGCCAACACAGCTGGAATAATCCTAGAATTATTACTCAACATGTTGGTAAAGTGTGTCTGCACGGGACTCTTTGAATTTTAATTTCCCTGCGTGCATCAAGATGTTTTCTATTACAGTAGAGAACCTCTCAAATATCGCAGGGTGTTAAAGTTGTTTGGTAATAGAAAACAGATGACATCATCTAGGAATGTTTGGGCACTCCAGATGACATCATCAAACAACGAACAATTGTCTTACCATTGGTTGTTCTTGACAAATGGTCTTGATGTCAGCTAAATGGTTGAGTATGGGAATGTCATGGGGCTGTACCATTTCATTCAGCAAACTGCAGTTTTTAAAAATGGTCAACCAAAACTCAGGAATGCCTTTCTCATCTTTGTCCTTCTTCTCCTCCTCCTTGCCATTGGTGTCTTCAATCTTTACTTTTTCCTTTAAGGCATTGGGAAGTTCTTCTTCCTCTTCATCAGAAGGCCATTGAGATTCATCTTCAGTAGGTTCATAACTCCCGTTAACAATAAGATTTCTTTTTTCGTACAAAGGTACGTATATGCGATGATATTTGCATTCCAAGTCGTGGACTTCTTTGAAGAAATTAGCCTCGATGTTGGTGGCTTCCAGCTGGATCTTTTTCAAGGCTTTGATGCGTCTTTTAACGGCTGGTGGCAGGGCGGCGAGCATTTCGGCGTTGCGTTGATGGGCCTTGAGGGCGGCCATCACACTAGGGAAATTCATAATTTGTTTGTTGGCCACCTCATCTCCGGCTTCCTCTTCTTCGACAAATTCCAAATCGTCGGGACAATCGCCGGCTTGGTCGTGATCCGTAGTCATTTTGGAGCCTGGAAATTCTGTATTAGCTGGACACACGTGTCATCAAAAAATAAATTGTAACAATGGAATCACTAGGAAAGGTGAATATTTATTTGATGGGTGAAGTTGTTGTATCGGGCCCTTAAATGATTAAAATTGAATGAAAACTCACCTTTTTTTCCTTGAATTGTTGAGAAATAACACCCTGTACCCTGTTAACAATGCGGCGCCAAAAATGAAAAGAGGATGATGTTGAAGATGGCGGATTAAACGTCAAAAAAAAAGAAAAAACGTGTTTGGCAACCTTCAAATCTTTGTAGTAACATTTTCAAACTTGGCAACATTGCTCTATTGCTCTGCAACAACGAGGTGGGTTCGGCTTGCTCACTCCGTGCACTCCGAGTGACTCCATTCGCACTCCAGCCGTTCGGGTATTGCTTTTTACCGTATTATCCATTTGCTCTGTTCTTACTCCACTCCAATTCCGCGCTAAATAGCCGAACCCAGCTATGAAGTATGAAGATTCTTCAGATCCTTGCCCACTGGGCTCTGTTCCAACTGACATGAGAACCGTTCTAAGGTGAGTTCGGAATGATAGAAAGTGTCGACACTTTTTACACTGATGATACCATTAATTGGTAGAAGTAAGTTTGGTGTACTATTTATTTGCATTTCGAAATAATTTGGTGTTTGAATGGTATGAAGATAGTGGAACACCATTTACTCGGTGTAATGAAGGTGTATTCGGTGTTACACCGTCGCTTACACCTTCATCACGTGATATAACATTGCACTATTTACACGAACACCGCACTAGCACTGCACTGAAATTCCATTCCGAACTCAACTTTAAAACGGTAATTTCCAGTCGATGAATTCATTTGTCAAGTAGGATAAACGTTCAACTTATTGAAAAATAAGTGGGCAACTGGAAATTACTGGTTCTGGAACGGTTTTCATGTCGGTTGGAACAGAGCTTAAGTGGTGTTCATTTATACTTACTCTACCTGTTCGAAAAATCAAAAAGAGCTGCTAAAAGCTGCTTTTTAAGAGCTTCTAATAGGGACAAGTAAACGCTGATCTACTCTTGAGATCTCCTTCAGGCAAGAGAAGCAGTATAAATTGACACCTGTCTAGAAAACACTGTAAGAAAACATGAATCACACTAATAGTTGTATTCCTTTCAAGAGTTTAAAACACTAGAGCTACTCGCTCAGTGTTAGTCGATTCTGATTTTAAAGGAACCGATGCGCTGGCTTTCGTAAATTTGCATGGTTTTATTCGGGCTCATTGAAAAATAGGTGCGCAGTTAGAAATTACTGGTTCTGGAACGGTGTTCATTTGTAGTTGCTCGAGGGCTACTCGCTCCGGTGTTAGTCGACTCTGATTTGAAAGGAACCGATGCGCTGACTTTAGTGAATTTAAATGATTTGATTGAAAAATGGGTGAGCAGCTGGGAATTACTTGGTTCTGGAACGGTTTTCATGTCGGTTAAAACAGAGCTTGAACGGTGTCCATTTGTACTTGCTCTACCTGCTCGAAAAATCAGAAAGATTTGCTAGGAGCTGCTATTTAAGAGTCTTTAATAAGGACAAGTGAAGCACTGGTTCTACCAATAGAATTCGCCATAAGTATGTTCGCACAGAAATCAAAAATCAGAGTTTTCATTGGTTGAAACTAAAGCTGGGTTCGGCAATTCAGCACGGAGTTGGATTGGAGTAAGATCAGATTTTTGTCATGTGATCTAGGAGTGATTAGAGTGAAAAATTAATACACGAACGACCGGAACGGTCGGAGCATAAATATCAAACAGCTGATTTGTTTTGTTTTAAAACAACAGTTAAAGAACCGAGACTCTACAACTAGGGGTCTAATTCTAATTCCCCAATAAGTACTCCTACTTTGTGTTCGGTATTTTGCTCAAAGAGCAGAGCGTGCAGAGCGGAGCCGTAATCATGTAACCGGCAAGTGCACAGAGCAGTTAAACGCTGTATCAGAGAGCTCGAAATGAACCTGCACCGAGTACACTTTTTAAAAAAACGAAGAGTAAACTAATGCTCGGAGAACTCTGATCAAAATACCGAACGCACGACTAGTTTGTATCCTCATTCCTCTTTGCGTGACAACCACCTTTCCGAACGTCGAAAACCGTGTAATTTTTATCCACACGTCTTTTCGAACGCAGGGTTGTGTTTAGAAATAGCATTCTGGGTGTGAGAGTGACCCTAGAGTAGCTCTAAACTGTTCATACGCTGGAATTGTTCAGAAATCGATAGTTGACGTGCTCAGGGGCCTTATTCTGTAAAAAACGAACCGTTCGATTCGGTAGAATTTCTTTGATTGTGACGTCATTTTCGGTTTGGTAGCGCGGAAGCTATTCACTACCAAACCGAAAATGACGTCACAATCGACGACATTTTACCGAATCGAACGGTTCGTTTCAGAATAAGGCCCCAGAGTGCGCCCAAGTTACCTCACTCAGGGACTGGGTTGAAAAACGCCCTGCGGTTTCTACCGAGTTTGACGTGATTTTAAGGTTATTTTCATTGACAATCCACCACAACGCCCTAAAACGTTCAGAAATAGCGCACCCAGGGTGCACTCGAAGTGATGACGTCAAAACACATAACTACTCTATCTTCACACTCCAATTCTACTAAACTACACACCAAAGCTCTTTTGCACATTCCACATTAGCGTGCTCTAGAGCACCCCGGGAGCGCCACGCACTAAATTTGTACCGTTCCAGTATCATAACGTGAGGCGTTTGTCCGTACGTTTAACTCGGGAGCTCAACGCTCTGAGTAGCTCTGAGCTTCACAATTCCATACTGGAAAACGGCTCAGATTCTCGAACGCAACTCTGAGCTGCTTTCCAGTGCCTAAATTGTTAGAGTATCATGCTCCTGGAGTGTGACACTCTTAAACTGTTCGACATTAGCAGCACTCGAACGCTCCCGTCTAAAGCCTAGTACTCATAACTGCAAAATTCGAATTTTTTTGACATTGCGTTGACAATTTGACATTTGATGCGTGTATCAAACGTCAAATTGTCGAAGCAATTGTCAAAAAAATGCGAATTTCGCAGCTATGAGTACTAGGCTTTAACCTCCACCATTTCGGACTTCAGGAGCATGGAACACCGTAACAAAGGTTGGTGCACGAGGGGGCAGTTTACGCCACTCTAAGCACTGAAATCGGTGCGTACGTTTTGTCTGAACCGGTTAGCGTTAGTGCGGTGCAGTTATGTTTTGGAACGCAACCATCTAAACTACACTGGAAAATGAACGTTGAACGGTACGAATGGTGTAAAAAGTGCGACATAATGACGGGTCAGGGTAAAAAGTGTCAATAGTTCGGACTTATCGTACGCACCAAATGCACAAAGTAATTGTGGAGCACTCGAGCTACTCAGAAGTAACTCAAATGGGTCACTGGAAAGCACCTCTGAGCCGCTTTCCAGTGCCTAAATTGTTAGAGTATCATGCTCCTGAAGTGTGACGCTCTTGAACTGTTCGACATAAGCAGCACTGGAACGCTCTCGTCTTAACCTCCACCATTTCGGATTTCAGGAGCATGAAACACAGACAAAAAGGGCGGTGCACGAGGGGGCAGGGGATAACAGAAATGAGTAGCTCAAGTGTACGACACTCTAAGCACTGGAACGCGCAAAGCAATTGTGAAGCACTCCTGAGCTGCTCAGGAGTAACTCAAATGGGTCACTGGAAAGCACCTCTGGTTTGTAATTACTTTTCGAACATACCTACTCCTAAATAAAAAGAAAAAGAGATAATTTCCTGTGCTTGCAAGAGAGAAAACTATAACCCAATCATTAGTTGACAGGCTGTTTTGTTGATGTTTTCCTGTTCGAGTGTTGTATTGTCAAAATTAAAAAGTTGTTAAATGTAAAATTTTATAAATATTTGGCCCCTCTTTTTCAAGCAAAACCCATTAAAATTTAATCAAGTATTGTCCTTACTACAATTGCAGGTAAGTTAGTTGATAAACTCCTCAACCCATAACCTAAAAATCTATTTATCTTTTCAAATCAAGTTCAAACTGCCTTTAAAAATGAACGAACTTCCTCCCAAACCAGCCACCACAATTTATTTCGGTGTTCATATACCCAACGATAACAGCAACGGCCAGTCAAATGTATTCGTCGACAAAGAGTCTGCTTTAAAAGCGGCCAAGAAACACAAAAAGGCCAGGTTCAAACCTTTTCAATTTTACCACGAAGCTGTAGACTTTAGCATCAACGGAGCGGAATTTCCCAACAACAATTCAGTAATTGACGGTGCAGAAGGAGAGAAAAAGGAGCTAATTGGGGTGGGAGAAAAGTCCAGTCCTTTTAGGACACCCAGACCTCAAGAACTGACTGAGTTTAGGGGGAAAATTGAAAATGGGGCTTTTAATCTTGTTAGGGAAATGATTAATTATAATCCTAGGTATTTGGTTAGCAGTGGAGATACTCCTTCTATTTTACAGGTAAGGATTTTGGTTGAAGAGCTATCTATAGTTTCTAGGTTTGTTTCTGCAGAAATCACAAAACTAGTTTCAACCAATGAAATTTACTTGGAATGTTTTGTGATTTCTGTGTGGTGAACAGACCTAAGATAGTCTCATCAAGATGGATAGTGAAGTGAAAATGAGACTCTACTCTCCACTGAGTTGTAGATGTGTTATGGACGTAATAAATGGATTTGAATAGGTGATTCTCCCTTGTTTTAAATTCATTCTTAGAACCACATTAACTAAATTATCTTCCTACCTGGTGGTACTTGTTAGTAATTAATTTACATTTAAGAGTTAATTCCATAGTTTTAAGTCAAGACAATTCAAGGATGATACACACTACTACTACAGGATGGCCTATCCTCATAAGGCATGTGTGTAACAAATCCCTCCCCTCGCCAAATTACCTTTCCATGTTAGTATGAATTCAATCCTATGTAGAGTTTTTGAACAATTATACAGAACATGGTTTGCCGAAAATGCAATTTTAAAACGCTGAAAGATAAATACCCATTACCAAGGATCGATGACCTCTTGGACTCTCCCAAAGGTCATATCTATTTTACAACTTCAGACCTAGTACCTGGATACCATCAGATCCCATTGAATGAAGAGTCAATTCTGAAAACTGCGTTTGTAACATCAGATGCGAATACCATTTGGACTTGTAAATGCTTCTGCGGTTTTTCAGAGAATATATAAAATTGTATGATTATTCGAAAACTGTATATAGAATTGGATTCATATCAACAGGGAAGGTTAAGGATGTTGTCATATTTGTTGCTACTACTTATCAGTCTTGCCTTGAAAAAATAGCAATTTTCTATACTATTTTTACAATGCAAACAGAAATATGCATTTTCTAATTTAAAAATTGAACTATTTAAACATTTTCTGTAATATCTCACTTCCTAGCATCACCTGTTTAACACAAAACCACCTAAATTGAATCTCATAGGCATATTTTAAGTTCAAAATATCACAAGAACTAAATTCTGGTAAGTAGGTACATCTAACCAAATTATCTTCACAGGAAGGTGCCAGACTGAATGCAATACACGTAGCAGCCAAAGTAAAAAACGCCCAAATCACCGAATACATCCTAAACACAGTCAGCAATCCGGAATTCATAAAACGCCTGTACGGCGACGATAGTCAAGAAAACGCCGAGCAACGTTGCAGAATGCTCTTGGATCTCTACCTAAACACTCCAAATAAAGGCTTCAACGACACCCCGTTGCATATAGCGTCCAAATGGGGTGCTGATAAAGTAATGGAAGTCTTACTCTCTTACCCCGAATGCGATAAAACCAAAAGAAACAAGCACAACAAATTAGCTGAGGATGTTGTTTGTGAAAGAGCCGACCCAAAAACGCCTAAAGATGTTTGCAAAAGAATCCAGCAAATGCTAGACGATAACTATTACGTACCTGTACTAAGAACAGACGATAATACTTTGCCTCCTTTGGTGGGACACCCCTTTTCACCTACAAGCCCTCCTTTATTAAACCGCGATCCTTTAAGTCCGCGTATGGAAATTCACGCTTATGCAGGCCCCATGGACAAGACTGAGGCAGACAAGTTTCATCGGGCATGGAAAACTCCTCCAAGAACACTTAATTCTCCCAATTTGATAAGCTTGAGATTAAAGGATCACGAAAAAGGCTTGGAAAGGATTGGCAAACAACTTGCAAACAGCTATAAAGTGCCTTGGACTGAATATTGGGCCTTTCTAAAACTATACATTGATATAACATCGGAAGAAGGCTTAGAGGCTTTAGAGAACCATCTAAAAACCAAACAACAATGTTTAATGTTGAATGATACAGCAGCAATACAAGAAGAAGAGACTATTGTGAGTCCAATGACAAGTCTCTGCGAAGCATTTTCCGCCTGTAAAATTAAAGACTCTAGTTTTTTCCAGGATAATTGCCGTCCCTTGGTTTACGTTGATAAGGCCTGTCACGTGTTTGCCAATCGTATTATCGGAAATGTTTCTTTAATTTTACGCTGTAGCGAACGGGAATATGAAAATACAGTTAAAATTTTGGAAACTGACATTAAACTTTTGGAGTTGTTGATTAATAGTTACTTGGACGATGAAAGATTTAGCGAGTGGGTGAATTTTCAAAAAGTCCACTCGCGTTTGGCGCATTTAATTGCCAGAAAATTGTTCGAGGAGGGTGAAGTTGTTTTACAACTAGAAGCAGTTCTAGAAAGTATTGTTAAAAAGTCTGATTATTTTTCTTCAGACGATGAAGGCGTTAATAATTGTAAAAATAAACCCACAACATACAGAAAGCAATTGGTTTGTTTATTAACTAGAATTAAATTATGCTTTGAGCAAAATACTTGGGAGCAAGAAGACGATATGTGGCAATTGTTTAACGTTTGCCCTTGCCAGTTTCACCCAAGAAAACCCAAAAGAAACAACATTTCTAGAAGTAATAGCTTCAAACAAAAACCTACAAAAAAATTCGATCTGCAAAGTGTCTCAAGGAAACTAAATTTTGGCGAAGACATTTTGGCTGGACGCTTATTGGGCGCCAACGGCGATGTTGCCTTTAATTTAAGCAGCGATAGTTCTAAATCAGACTCTGACGATGAATTTTGCACACCTGCAACGTCTCCTAATAAAAGTCCTGAAGAGTCTGATTATGAAGATGCTGAATCTCCTGCATTTGAAACTTTTTTAGAAGGGTGAGGATTTTGGGCTTTTGCGATTTTTGTTATTTGTTTTTTTTTTTGCAGGAATTATCCCACTAAAACCGACTGCGAAGTATTCAATGCTATAAGCTATTCTGATTGTGATATTGATTTGAAAAAGTACCCTTTAGTATACAAGTGGCATCATTGTATAAGCCTTTACAAGAAATCTGAGCGTGAAAGGTGGTTAATTGCTCAATAAATTTTTATATATTTATGATTTATTTTTAGTTGGCCTAATAGTAACAAAATTCTTACTGGGGGTGATAGTTTAAGCCCTGAAGCTCATATAATGTCTCATAAACCGTCTTGGCTGAGGATAACGGGAGCAAATTCGCCAAAGGCTGCAATTAAATCTTTCAGTTTTCATTAAGTAAGACTTAAAACAAGTGTGATGTTTTTCTTTTCTTTTGTTGCTCCAAGCGAACCAAATAAATGTATTGTTAATTTTATAATTGTTTAGTTGCATGTTAACTATGGAAGCATTTTCATTTTAGTTCAAGATTGTTTGAGAAAGGTAGGTTGCCTGATGACGTCATCTGGGGTGTCTCATAATGCAGATCTCCAGATAACGTCATCAAGTTACCAATTACAAAAAATGTTTTCGTTGTTTTGCTTAGGATAAGAAAATCCCTACTGTGTCTGTACTGTATATTTAAAAAAAAAATACATATTTTCTTATATTAATTATTACTGAATAATTGGAAATAACATTATTGTTTTTTTTTTAATAAAGATGTGTTTTATTTTGCTATGCTGTTGAAGCATTCAATGGGTAATTTTCTTTGGATGTTTTGGAAAAAAATAACTTTCTACAGAATTCGGAATTCCGATTCGAGTTGACTAATACAAAGATTGAAATCCGTATTAACGGATCATCAGGCTTAAGTAATTATAGAGGAATGCCCAAGTAACTGACTAACCTGATGGGTATTAAAGGTACAAAGGAATTCATATTTCTATTTAGATTTTGAAAGATTATAACTTTTTTTTCTATTAGAGATAGAAAGTTGAAATTTTCAGTGATTCCTTATCCCAGTAGAGGATAACAATCCCTAAATGGAGTTTGGAGGATCCCAAAAGGATCATTAGGACAAAAAAGGAAAAGCAGACCAAGGTGTTTGTACTAATATCCAAGCTACAGTCCACTTTAGCTCATTCAATCAAGAGTCTACTGTATATTTTTTCTTATAAAATAAATGGCTATTTAATTAGTATTTTTCCTTTTGCCAAATTAAAAACAAATACAGATAAAAGCCTAAACGAGTTTAAACAGAGGAGGATAAAAGAAAACGCTCGTGAATCTCTCATGACAGACAGAAATCAGCTGTGCTGTGTACTCGTCGTCTTGTGATAAGACATTTTTAAATACCCAAAGTCAAAGTTCGTCCTCCAAATAATTTTATCATTAATTGAGTTTCAATAGGGCTTGAGCTAACAGAGAATCGTCATAATGGTAAGTGGTATTTATTTTATTAATAATTATTTGCAGAGTTATGTAATGCTTTATTTGTTAATTGCCGGTCATTCATTATTAGCTACTCAATACATAATTGAATATGTATGTTTTACATAAGTGAATTATATTCAATTAGCATATAAGGCCCTGGTGCTATGATACCTAGATATTTCTACATTTTCTAAGTTGAAAATACCTATAACTTCATCATTTAACTCGTTCCATTATGCCACTTAAGCGTTTTAACTGGGGCTTATAGCCAATGCTCTCGACGCATTTACGCGTTCTTGTGTTATTCATTATATAGGGTGTGAAAATCAGGGTAATCCTGTGTTAGCTCTGAGCAAAGTTTTTAAGTCACAAAGGGTTAAGAAAATACAGGGAGAACACCAAAAATTGCGAGGGTCAGGTCATCCTATAGAGAGACAGATTAAGTTCATAATTTGCTCTTGCTATTTATATCTTGCTTACGTTTTTACTTATTTCGAAAAACAATTTTTCCAGCTCGCGCACTTTTGTGCAATAACATGTTTATATATTCCATTTATCGGAGTATATTGTTGATTTTACTTACAAAATTCAGATAATAAGAAGTTAAGGTCTGAGAAATATTTGATAATTCTAGAAATAGGCTCATTCGAGTTGGGCCTTTTCAATTTGGAGCTTTCCTGACAAAGGGTGAATGCCCAGGTGCTATACTCCTGATGCAAAACAGGCCTTGCTTATCTACTAACATTATTGTTAAAACTTAAATAAATAATAGAGGGATCCAACTAATGATAAAATAATGAATTTACTTGTTTACAACAAAGGAAAATTCTATTCCGTTCTCAGAAATGTTTATTTCTGCCATTTAAGTAATAGAAATGTTAGATGGTCTTACAACCTTTCCCAAGGGTACAGTTATGTGCATATATCCTATTCACAATCTGTAGTCCAAAGGTACGGGTAAATTTTCACCTCTCCCTATCAAATAATAGCATTCAAAGGTGATAAATTTTACCTATACCTTCTGGACTACAGATTGTGAAAAGATAATGAAACTAGAATGAGAGGTATAAGGTTTGTCCCAACACGTCAAAAAAATGGTTTCAAAACCACTCTGTACACGAATTTCAGGTTCTACGTACAAATTTTAGGGTTTCTTGACACGTTGGAACAAAGCTGTGAGCTTTGTTGTACATAAAACATAAGGATTTTATCTCATTCTAATTATGTATAGTTGTGTTCATATAAAAATGGTACACGCACATAATTAAAATTAAATAAAATCCTTATGTTTGAAGTATGATACAAAATATACCTTTCATTCTAAGATATGTGCAAAGTAGTACACATAGAATGAGCTAAAATCATCATGTTTAATGTATGACACAGTATTCCTCTCATTCTAAATTATGTACAGTCGTGGTACCTATATAGCTACCTTTTCTTTTTCATTGAGATTTTCTGTCCTAATGGACAATTAACATCCCCCAAACTCCATACACAAAATTATTCCCAGATTTGAAGCCGAAATCTATGAAAAAAGGCACTCAGAAAAATTGAAAAATTGATAAATCACCCCAAATTGCTTAATACGATTTTATCTCAGGAACTATAAGTGCAAATGAGCTGAAATTTCTGATCTGAATTCCTTTTGAATCATATATAGTCATGTGCATATAAAACTATAAAAGTTATACACGTATACAGGGTGAATCTGAAAGTGAGGCTTTTTTTTTAACAGGGTATATATCTCGCTGAAATAAGTTGTGTGGCAAAAATTTTTTTACATAAAAAATTTAAGATAACGGAGGTAAAGGTATTTAAAGATATAAAAATTATTAGGTTGAAAATGGAAAAAGGAGTTTTTGATTGATTTTTCTGATGAAATAATACAACTGTAGATTACCTTTATGGAAAAAAACTCATTATGCTGGACAAAAAACTGTTTTTTTTTCCAAGAAAATGTTAACAAAATGTTTTATAATTGGATGCCTATTCTCGAAACTGGGGAACAGCGTTCTCATGAGAATGGATTGATCTGGTCTCTGTCAGTGTTATGCAAACATGAGTATGGGCAAGTAGGGCGGGAAGATAGGACCTTCGTTCTCATAAAAAAGCTGCTCCGATGTTTTGAGAATAAGGACCCTGGAGTCTTCTTAAGACCTTGAAATACCTGTAACTTCGTTATCTTAAATTTTTTGTGTAAACAATTTTTTGCCAAACAACTTATTTTGGTGAGATATATATCCTGTTAAAAAAAAGCCTCACTTTCGGATTCACCCTGTATAATTAGAATGAGATAGAATCTTCATGATTGATGTATGACAAAGCTTTATACCTCTACTGGTACTACTTTAATATGCACATAACTGTACCATACTTCTACTGCTTCAAAATTCCTACCTGGACCCTATTTGTGAATTTATTATAATTAATATCAAACTTCCAACTTATTACCACTACTTAATAACTTTGAACTAAACTATGCCTAAAATTTCCAGGCAGAACCCCTAAGAGTAGTAGTAACAGGTGCAGCGGGCCAAATCGCCTACTCCCTCCTTTACATGGTAGCCAAAGGCGACGTCTTCGGCCCCAACCAGCCCCTCATCCTACACCTACTAGACATCCCACCGATGATGGGAGTTCTCGAAGGAGTCGTAATGGAATTGGCCGATTGCGCTTTGCCTTTGTTACACGGCGTGGTGCCTACAGACGATCCAGCTGTGGCTTTTAATAATGTTTCTGCTGCCTTTTTAGTAGGCGCAATGCCTCGCAAACAAGGCATGGAACGTAAAGATTTGCTGAGTGCCAACGTAAAAATCTTCAAAGTCCAAGGAGAAGCTTTGGATAAGTACGCCAAAAAGGATGTTAAGGTTTTGGTTGTTGGAAATCCTGCCAATACTAATGCTTTGATTTGTTCACGCTATGCCCCCTCAATTCCCAGAGAGAACTTTACTGCTATGACTCGTTTAGATCAGAACAGGTAAAAAAATCAACTACTAAACATCAAATATACAAATAAGTAACTTATTATTGCAGGGCCCAAGCACAAATTGCAGCAAAAATAAATGTCCCAGTTCGCAAAGTCAGCAACCTAATCATTTGGGGTAATCATTCTTCCACCCAATTCCCAGATGCTTCTCATGCAGTAGTTGAAGTCAATGGCAGTGTCTCATCTGTTCCAGAAGTTGTTAAAGACCAAGCTTGGTTGAATTCAGTTTTCGTTGAAACTGTGCAAAAACGCGGAGCTGCAGTTATCAACGCTAGAAAAATGTCCTCAGCAATGTCAGCTGCTAAAGCAGCCTCAGATCACATGAAAGATTGGTTTTTGGGCACCGCCCCTGAACGATTCGTTTCAATGGGGGTCTTAAGTGATGGCAGCTATGGCGCCCCTAAAGATGTAGTTTTTTCTTTTCCTGTAACAATCAAAGCTGGCAAATGGGAAATTGTGCAAGGTTTGAAAATCAGCGACTTTGCTAGACAGCTTTTGGATGTTACTGGTAAAGAGTTGGAAGAGGAACGCCAAGAGGCTATTCAGATTATTGAAGCTTGACTTGTACATAAGCTTTAAAATGTGAATTAAAGAAAAAATAGTGCAGATATTGACTTCACAATAATTGTCAATAATTATGCAAATAATCCTCCCAAATCATATCAACCTATATGCCATTTTAATTTCCTTTATTTTACGGGTAATTAATAAACAAATATACTGTTTCTATTTTTTTCTTATATTGTTTTAAAGCTTCCTCGGACAAATATATTTTGTATATATTTAAGTGTAGGCTTGGGAAAGGTGATATATTTTTATTGGTGTTGGATTAATGTTATAATAAAACAGCAAATGTCTGCCTAAAATTATCTGTATTTTATTCGTCTCTTTATTGAATTGAATCTGGAAGGCTCTCACGATCTTAATAAGACGGTAAGTATTCAACATCCTCTGAGCCCAGAGACAGCATACACCTTTGTGTATGCTGTATGTTACTTGTTACTTTACCAAACTAGTAATATAATGTGACAAGTTTTTCAAGTACAAACGAGTGAATTGTTGCGGAACTTATGGGGTGGACCTCTGCGGGACGAGCGCAGCGAGTTCCCCAGCCATCTATTCATCAATATGTTATTTAATTACGATACTAACCTGACTTGCTCAAATGTGACTTATTCTCATTAGTTTAAAAACTACACATTTCAGGTGAATGTTTTACCTGAACAGTTCAATAGTATATTGGTGAGTAGATGGCTGCGGAACTCGCTGCGCTCGTCCCGCAGAGGTCCACCCCATAAGTTCCGCAACAATCCAGTTATTTGTACTTGAACAATAACTTATTATATAAAGTCAAAATTTGTAAGATTATCCACTTTTTGTCAATTTGCCTTTCAACAGGAATTAGTAATGTTACTTTACCAAACTAGTAATATAATGTGACAAGTTATTCAAGTACAAATTAACGAATGGATTGTTGCGAAACTTATGGGTGGACCTCTGCGGGACGAGCGCAGCGAGTTCCGCAGCCATCTATTCATCAATATGTTGTTAAATTACGATACTAACCTGACTCGCTCAAATGTGAGTTATTCTCATTAGTTTAAAAACTACACATTTCAGGTGAATGTTTTACCTGAACAGTTCAATAGTATATTGGTGAGTAGATGGCTGCGGAACTCGCTGCGCTCGTCCCGCAGAGGTCCACCCATAATAAGTTCCACAACAATCCAGTTATTTGTACTTGAACAATAACTTATTATAAAGTCAAAATTTGTAAGATTATCCACATTTTATCAATTTGCCTTTTAACAGAAATTAGTAATGTTACTTTACCAAACTAGTAATATAATGTGACAAGTAATTCAAGTACAAATTAACGAATGGATTGTTGCGAAACTTATGGGTGGACCTCTGCGGGACGAGCGCAGCGAGTTCCGCAGCGATCTATTCATCAATATGTTGTTAAATTACGATACTAACCTGACTCGCTCAAATGTGAGTTATTCTCATTAGTTTAAAAACTACACATTTCAGGTGAATGTTTTACCTGAACAGTTCAATAGTATATTGGTGAGTAGATGGCTGCGGAACTCGCTGCGCTCGTCCCGCAGAGGTCCACCCCATAAGTTCCGCAACAATCCAGTTATTTGTACTTGAACAATAACTTATTATATAAAGTCAAAATTTGTAAGATTATCCACTTTTTGTCAATTTGCCTTTCAACAGGAATTAGTAATGTTACTTTACCAAACTAGTAATATAATGTGACAAGTTATTCAAGTACAAACGAGTGGATTGTTGCGGAACTTGGGTGGACCCAGCCATCTATTCACCAATATGCAGCATACACCTTTGTGTATGCTATATATATTACTCTACTTTGTGTTGTGTATGCTGTATGTTACTTTACCAAACTAGTAATATAACATGACAAGCTATTCAAGTACAAACGAGTGGATTGTTGCGGAACTTATGGGTGGACCTCTGCGGGACGAGCGCAGCGAGTTCCGCAGCCATCTATTCATCAATATGTTGTTTAATTACGATATTAACCTGACTTGCTCAAATGTGACTTATTCTCATTAGTTTAAAAACTACACATTTCAGGTGAATGTATTACCTACTTGAACAGTTCAATAGTATATTGGTGAGTAGATGGCTGCGGAACTCGCTGCGCTCGTCCCGCAGAGGTCCACCCATAAATTCCGCAACAATCTACTTATTTGTACTTAAACAATAACTTATTATTATATAAAGTCAAAATTTGTAAGATAATAGTCAGATGAAGCCCCAAATATTCAATTTTTTGTTTCATCAAAACAGTGAATGTATAGATATTCACCTCCTGCACGTTTCTGATGCTCTTGTTTTGAAAAATGCAAAATTTCCGATTTTGTACCAGGAGTACAGGAATGTGGAAAGATGATAAGTAGAGTCTGACTCATATTTTGTCTCATAACTTTGTTAATTTCAATCCGATCTTAACGTAATTAGGCTTAAATTAAAGCCAATTGAATTCTCTACAAATGCCTAATGGATAATTTTCATGAAACTTCAATAGTTTCTTAGCTGTAACGCTTCGAAGTTGGATTTTAGAGCTCAAGTATTTATTCGATTTTGGGGCCCATATAAATAACCTAGCGCCATCTCTTGGTAGTTTAACCAAAATATTTAAAAAATGATTTTGAGGCCTATTTTGCCCCTCAATTAATTCCTAGGCCCTAAATTTCATTGTCCAGCCTTATAATTTCACTGTCCAACAATAAAATAAAAACTTTGTCCATTAAAAACCTACAAAGGACAAATCCCCTAACCTAAAAATTGTCCACAACTGACAGCTTCTTTGGGGACAAAAACAATGTAAAATTGAATAACACAAAATGTTATTAGAAACAATAATTATTGTGCAACTAATAAGACTCACTCATTTAACGTTTCACGATAGTGGACATGGTAAGCAAATTCCTATAGTTTTGCCCCCCCAAATTTGTATATTGTCTTTTGAAGGATTCATAAGCAAAAAGTCATCCTATTTCGACGAAGATTTATCACAGATTCACTTGAACTACTTCCAAAACGTCGATAGTTTAGAGGGGCTCAATTTGCGATTCGATCCTGAAGTTTTGGATTTTCGCGAAAGGTACTTTTGCCTCTTAAGGGCCAAATTATGAACTGACTGGTTACTGGTTGTTACCTAGCAGGTACTTAGATAATAGAAAGTACCTGCTAGGTAACAACCAGACACTTACCAGTTGGTCCATAATTTGGCCCTAAATGCTTCATTATAACATAATTGACTCTTTTATTCAAGACCTTTGGGTAGTCCTCATTCTAGAACAGTGACTCTTTATAATACGAACAGCAACAAATCAATTGATCTCACATCTATTTCTGGGAATACAGTACATTTTCATAGCTCTTTTTTTGAGGACAAGGTAAGGTGTATTAAAACAAATTAATTTGTTTGTAATATTGTTGTTAATCAATAAAGCAAATACCACCAAATGGCAATACCACCTTTAAAGTGGTTTATTTGGGCAGGCAAGAAGGACCAGTGGAGAGTACATTGTTTCTACACACATCAAATGGATTTATTAAATATAAAGTAATAATTTTATAATGTAACAATGCAACAATTAACTATTATAACCCTATAGGTAAAAGCATTTGGTACATTTAACAGCTACAGAGTACGTCCAATAGTAGGTGTAAAACTACCAATAAACTCTACATTTACTCCAGTAATTTACATGCACAATCCTCATTCAGAACCAATACAGGTAAAACAATCACTTCAGAGGTCTACACAAACTACTAATAATTGACTATAGATTGTAGAAATCTACAGTAGTGGCGGGGGTTTTCACTTGGAATTACCTGGGGGGCAACACGAAGGCTCCAATGACTTGTGGGAAATCAACCCTCAAGAAACCAAAGCAGTTATAAGGGTGCGATTTGAAGCTAAGCTGCCTCACAATCATACAGCTTATATCAGGTTAGATTTATTAAAATGATTGTCTCAGGGGGGCAACCACCAACAACATTGTAATACTCAATAACATCAGAGATAGACATGCCATCTCATTCATAAACTGATGTTTGTTGTAATGACAGGACCAAGGGGTAAACCACCTAGCCAAAAATGTGGAGAATTTAGAGGAATTTGTGGAAAATTTGAAGGAACTCATCCAAATTTATGAGAATTTGGGGAATTTATAGAGAATTTGGAGGAATTTATGGGGAATTTGGGAGAATTTGTGAGGAATTTATGAGGAAGTTAAAGGAAATTGTCAAATTTAAAAAATTCAAAAGAATAATGAATACAGTTTTTGTAGGCTGATTTCCAAGATTTTTCATGTTGCTGTTTTCCATTGAAAAAATTTGAAATTTTAGAAAAATGATCTTCTCACCTTCCTCTTTACATGCAAAAAGTTTCAAATTTTTTCCTTCACTAGTTTTCCAGGAAAACTTTAAAATATGTGAGACTGTATTATTATGTGTAAAAAATTTCCCTTTGAGGAATTGTTTGCACCAATTCTAGATTGGTGGTTTACTCCTTGGACAGGACCCTCCATAGGCCAGAAAAGCTCAACTGTTCGAAGTGGGATGCGTCAGAAGTGTATAGATAAAAATATCATTCTGTAATTTGCAGTATAGGTGTACAACATTTGGTGGTTGGCCCCCTATATGCTCCAAAATGTTAAAACATATTTTTCTAGAATTAAACTTCACAATCCCCAAGAAATCTTAATAGTGCCCTTGGAAGTTGAGGTGACTCAAGGGCAAAACATCTTCCATCCTCAAGGACATGTGGATTTCGGTATGGGTGGCTCAATGGACGAGCCTAAAGAGGTGGACTTATGCCTTTTTAACCCTTTGAAGCGCGCCATAAGGGTGCACAGCGTGTCTACCTTATCAAAATCCATTAAAACCCAATATTATAATATACGGATTAATCCTAGCGAGCAGGAGAACAAATGCGTTAATGTGGGAACTTTGACTTTAGATTGTAATCAAGTTATTTTTTGTAAATTGGTAAATGATAAGGTTTATTTTAGGGAAAAATGCCCACCAAACTAATGATTATTACGGCAAAATAATTGTAAAATTTCGCAGCGGTAAAAACCGCACTGAAATACCATATTTCTTAACCGTACTCAAAGGAGGCTTGAGTTATGACAAAATGTCCACCACATATTTCTTAAACGACAAAGAAATGGACACAAAAGAGCGCAAATTCGAAATCCTAAACGAATTTTTCCATCCAGTCAAAATCCTAGACATAAAATTCCCATTTGATATTGACTCAACCTTTAAAATCCAAACTCACACACCAATTACCATAAAACCCTTTGAAAAAAAGCCCCTGTTTAATATCTGGCTAAAAACCGAAACCAAAAAAACCGACATCCAACTAACAAGCCACATCAAAATCCTCACCAACATTTCAAACATCCAAGTACCATTGATGAGCTACAATGGAAAAATCCAAATTTATTTACCATTTACAAACGAGGATAAAATCCTTGATGTAGGCCTTTTAGGACACAATAAAAAAGTTCAAATTCTTATAACCCTTGCTAATCCCAATCCTGTCCCTTTGCCTTTGCTGGATTTGTCTTGTTCTATACCTTTTAGCCAGCTGGAATTGTTGGGTTGCGGCACTGGAGATCACAAACAAGTTTTAATGTATAATTCGTTTGAGAATTTGACTGAATGTGTAAGTAGTCAAGTTTGTTGATAATTATTAAATAATTATTATTGTGCTTTAAAGGATACAATTGAGGCACAAGGCTACGCCGTTGTGAAGTTGATTATAAAAACTAGGGAGGAAGATGGGCAAAAGAAGGAGAATATTTACATACAAACTCCTTTTGAAAACTTGTCGCTGCCTGTTTATTATAGAGTGGCTCCAGGAGAAATTATTATTGACAGAGACGATTTGGTTTTTGATAATTGCTTTCCTGTAAGAATTTGTTTTGAATTGTAGAAGTGTTTTCAATTATTATTAGGGTGATGGTGCGTTCTTTGTTCCAAAAGGTGATTTAATAGGAATTTCCTGTGGGTTCAATGTTTTTATTTTTGATTTTTTCTCAGTTTTGATTCTATAAATCGATAGAGCGGGTCCAAATTAGTCAGAAATAACTCTAACATCTGTTACATTCGACTACATATTTCTATGAGATGAAAAATCCAAAAGAGAATATGATTTTTGGCTCTACAAATGTTTTGAAATCTTGACAGGCTTATGAATAATTGCCCATATCTTCCATTACTTTTGAGAAAATTGCTTACAACTATACATCATTAGAAAGAGTATTAAATTCTCTATAAAACTGTGCAAAATTGAGCTTTGTACCTTTTGAGGTTTTCAAGATATCGATGTTCAAAGTTGAAATTTGGTCTACATTTTGTCCAAAACATCAAACTCAATTTTCTCAAAAACCATAAAAGCTAGCGATTTCAATTAGATACCATTTGAAAGCCCTTATCAACAGCTACAATCTCTGAAAATTTGGTCCCAATACTGCTTCTGGTCTCTGAGATATCAAAGTTCGAAGATTTGGAAATTAAAATCCAAAGGGGTTACCCTTAAGAAAAAGTGCAAAAATATGAAAATTTTTATTTTTGGATTTTTCTCAATTCTGACTTCAGAAATCGATAGAGCGAGTCCGAATTAGTCAGAAACAACTCTAACATCAGTTACATTTGACAATTACGATGAAAATAAAAAAATCTAAAAGGAAATCTCATTTTTGACTCTGAAAATTTTGTGAAATCCTGACACGCTCATGAATAATTGCCCATATCTTCCATGACTTTTGAAAAAATTGCTTACAATTATACATCATTGGAAAGAGTATTAAATTCTCTATAAAACCATGCAAAATTGAGCTTTGTACCTTTTGAATTTTCCAAGATATTGAGGTTCAAAGTTGAAATTTAGTCTAGATTTGGTCCAAAACTTCAAATGTGATTTTCTTAAAAACCATATGCGCTAGCGATTTCAACTAAATACCAACTGAAAGCCCTTATCGAGAGCTACAATCCCTGAACATTTTGTCTTAGTACCGCTTTTGGTTACTGAGATATCAAGGTTCGAAGATTTGGAAATTAAAATCCAAAGGGGTTACCCTTAAAAAAAACTGCAAAAATTGAAAATTTTTATTTTTGGATTTTTCTCAATTCTGACTTCAGAAATCGATAGAGCGAGTCCGAATTAGTCAGAAACAACTCTAACATCAGTTACATGTGACAATTTCGATGAGAAAAGGAAATCTCTGGAAATTTTTTGACACCCTTATGAATAATTGTCCATATCTTCTATGACTTTTGAGAAAATCACTAATAATCATACATCATTAGAAAGAGCATTAAATTCTCTATAAAGCCGTGCCAGATTGGTTTCTGTAGCTTACCGAGTTTCCGAGATATTGAGCCTCAAAAGTACCAATTAATTGAAAACATTTCTACATTATTATATTAATCATTGACCACTTAAAGCCTCATTATCTTTTGCCAGGCAAAAACTTGCTCGCACCCTCTCAGAGTGTTTTCCTCCTTTTCTGAAAAAATGCTCGTCCTAAACGTTTTACCTTTACCTCCGGACAAGAGGATATCCGCCTCAATGACCAGCATGATTTTACCCAAAATAAACCACATAATCGGTCATTTGTATTTCAATCCCAACTTAGATTGCAGCCCTGAATGTTATACAGGATTTGTCAGTGAAAGTACAGGTAATTTGCAATTGGAATTTTAGTACAATGTAATTTTTAATTATTGTTATTTAGCTTCTTGGCTTAGAACATTACCAATATCTAAACAAGTGTCCGAATACGATTTAAGATTGGTCAATACTTTTTACAGCAGGTATTTGAATTTTACCCAAAAGGCCCTGAGAAATGTTACGTTTAGAATGGACACTAGTGATGTTAAAGGGCAAACATTTGTCAGCAAAATAAACTACACTTGGCCCAGTCTAATCAAAGATAATTTGAATACTTTACAATTCCCTTTGACACAGGTTTGTACTATACATATAGTTTTTACAATAATTATTAAGTAATTGTTTTCAGATTCATAACTCATCATTTAAAACCTTGCATTTGCAAAATCCTGCAAATTACAGTGTGGTAGTTCAATTACTATTTGAAAACGATTATCCACATGCTGAAATGCTCTATGACGGACTACCAATAAGTTTTATACCGTATTCTGAAGTCAAATACACTAGCAACAATTGGTTTTCATTTGATGAGCGCCTCATGGAAAATCAACGCAAATATTTCTTTGAGCATTTAGGGGTGGGAGTCTACAAAGCATCTTTAACTTTTCTACTACTTCCAGGCCAATCTAGAAAAGTTTGTTTGGAGTTTAAGGCCGAAGAACCAAGAGCTTATTCCAGTCTTTTACTTATAAGAAACAATTTAACTATAATTGAAGTTGTAAGGCTTAATGGCAAAGGTACTGTGCCAAGATTTGAGTTTGCTGGTCTTAGGCCTGGGGACTTAAAACCGCTACAATTTGATTTAAGTGAGAAGCAACTTAAGTATTGTAATAAGGAGTTGCATAGTAATCCTTATTTGCCCGATTTGACTGTAAAGGAGAGTTTTTGGGCTAGGAATTTGGGAGAAATCCCGGTGCAAGTTAATAGTTTTTCTATTAACGGATTCTGGTGTGAAGGATTTGGGTTCAAAGTAATTATTGTTTTAATAAGAATGAGTGATTTTTTGTTAATAATTATTTTTGTAGGTTTTAGATTGCGAATCCTTCACGCTATTGCCAAATTGCTCCAAGAAAATCGAGTTGGCATTTACGCCTGATTTGACCCTACAAGAAATTACGCGCGTGTTAATAATTGGCACCAGCATTAATACTTTTGTTAATTATTCTCTTAAAGCTACAATTCCGAGGAGTTATTGCAGGCATTGCAGCCTTTTACTGCAAAGGCCTCCTTGGGAATCATCCATGGCCTTTGCGGTCAATATATTTTTAGCTGTAATGCTTTTTTTGGTAGTGATGGTTGCTATTTTGGACTCCAATACGATTAAAAATAAAGCTATTGAGATTTATATGGCTTCAAATGCCCCTCCTCTAATGCCTGTTTGGGATTTGAAAAAGATTGGCAAACAAGTCAGGGAAGAGATTCAGTCTGCCTTAAAGGAAAAAGCTAAAGCTGATTCAAATGAAGGGGCTTCGCCTGAAGATTGTGTCAAATCAGAGCCTGCTATAATTCCAACAACAGGTAGAGCTAAAAGAAAGCTCAACCACAAAAATAGCTCCAATGAGCAAGCAGAAGAGGAGCGCAGGCAAAAGAAAAAAGACATTCTATACGAACGTCACCGGTTAAAGTCCAGAGAAAGGAAGACTGAAAAAGAGCTAAAATTACTCGAAGACAAAGGCAGAAAAGAGAAACATGCCCAACAAATTAATGATACAAAGAAAAACGTAGCTCCAGCAAAAAAACCAAACAAATCTCAAGAAGAAGAAATCTCCTCAACAACCACTGAAAGCAGCAATAGCAGCACAAACTGTGACGAAATCGACAAAGAAAATCAACGATCCAGTTGGCCAAAACAAAAAGATGACACAAAAATCAAACACGTGAGCTTTGTTAATAGCAAGTTAAAACACACAGATCAAGACAAAACCGAACAAAAACGACGCCAATTCAAAGAGCGCAAAGATAAGCTCATTTACCGTCACAAAACAAAACAAGTTGAAGCCGCAGTTGAAAAAGAACCCTCACTTAAAACTCCTCCTGCTAGTTTCTTTATACCATTACCAACAGTTTCTACAAGTTGTGCTGCTTGGTGCGAAAACAAGGCCCGATTCAGTGACGTGGTTGCCCGACAAGAACAACATGAAGAGTTAAATCCCAGCCCCCTTAAAACCAAACCAACAGTTTACGTTGAACCTTTTAAACCAGTAGACTTAGGCCCTATTGGCTCAAAACGCTTAGGAACTCCTGAAAGCAACAGCCCAGATTTATTTAACAACAGACCGCAAGAATTCCATCCAATAAACGATACAAGCGTTATTGCAGTAGCAAACAATCCATTTTTGGGTGACCAATGGCCCAGACAGCAAGTTTTCCGCGACATTACAGACGAAAGTCTATTCACTGATGAATCATGGAAAGTGCCCCAACATCCTACTACCAACGACTGGTCAAACACCTTCAGTACCGTCTTAAATTCAACATCCAAATTAGCAAATAACGCGTCTTATTTGTGGGGTTCCCCGATTTGGAAGCCCTGGTCGCCTGCAGATTCGCCTAGTGCAGTCAGACGTACTCCGCCTGGTTTTGATGATCAAATTCAGAAGCAAAAACGAGCTGCAGAGGAGCAAAAAATGAAAGAGCCCTATGATTTGGGTGCGGGTGCCACTTGGAACCAACCCTGGGAGTAAAAAAATAATTCTTAATAAATGTAAATGTGAAAATGTTTTATTATTTAATATCCATGAGATGGTTTAACCGATTGAATCTTCTTGAGCAAAATCTGCAAAAGAATTAATCAATAATAGTAAATCTTAATCAAATTCCTTTATATTACTTGATTCTCTCTTCCGATTTTCTCTTGATGCTTCCTGCGGTTAATCTCAGAGCTGGAAACTTTTCTCAAAGTACCAGTAGTGGTAGTTTTGTATTGCCTGGGTCTTCGGTCGTGGTACGAAATCCTCTCGGCCAATAGGGCGTTGTCTTTTTCGATTTCGCGTACTTTTTGCGCTGAAAACGTCTTGTTCGGCACGTAAACCACGCTTTTGGGGTTCAGATTCAGGAAGAATGACTGGTCGGTGCAAGAAGCAGAGGAACTGCAATCGCTCCTGCTGGAATAATCGGGATTTTTGATTTTGTCACAGGTTTTGCATTGAGAGGAACTCATCGTGAATTATTTGTATTATTGATAAAGTTTCTATAGCAACAAAATAATAACAGTAGAAAATTGTTTAATCAATATTTTTTATTTAGGTGAATAATGGATAGCATATAAGGCAAATGTAAATGGAACTTAATGGCAAAAGCTTCATGACTGCTTTCGAGAACTACAAAGCCTAAATTGGCCAAAAATAATTAGGGAAAATGCCAATACACCATGTTGTAGCCAATTTAATCCTCTATCGAATGAAACATGATTTATTGAAATCGGTCCAGGCGTTCCAGAGTTAGGGCCAATTTAATGAGACCTTGTCATGAGCAGTATTAATTTTCTATTTTAATTTTTTCCGGGCTTAGGAGAAGTCCTACGGGAAAATTCCAAAAAGGTTTTCTGCTTGTTTTCACCTGCTCTATACATGACAGTTTTTGTTTTTTCGAAATTCCAAAATTTCGATTTTCCATTTTTTTGGATGGGAAACATCTAGAAGGGCCAAGCGAAAACCCCTGGAAAAACAGGAAATTGAGAGAAACAAAATAGGTTCCGACACTTCTTGGGACTTCCTTTATGACGTAGTCAAAGAAAATTTGGGAAATTTTCATTTTGATTTTTTGGCCGAAAAAAATCATAAGGCCCATTGATTTTAAAACTTCCAAGTGGAATATCTTGGAAATGGTAAGTCGTAGAGGTAAGACTCGATAAGCTTTTTTGTAGATCTCGTCGAGCTCTACAATCTACCCCTGAAGAGTTTTCCTCTACGACTTACGGTTACTGATCTATGGCTGGTTGAAGTTTCGAATTTCATCATTTTCAAGATTTCCCTGTGCTGAAGACATAGGGTCAAAAACCAAAGTCAAAATTTCGGAATTTCAAGATAGCCATTTTGTAGAGGGGATTCCAAAAAGTCCCAAAAGCAAATTTTTTTCTCTTAAGTTTTCCAATTTCCCATGAGTTTCCACCATTTTGTGACGATTCGACACTGTTTCAATAAATTGGCTATAACTTAAATGTTTTTGAACCGATTTCAATGAATCATGTCTTATTTGATAGAGAATTGAATTCTCTACAAGAAGGTTTTATCAACAATTTCTTTTAGTTATCTCGTTTTTGCAGTATCAGCTCCCAAAGTCGAATCTTCCTAGAAATGTGCTGCAAATGTTCAATGTCGAGAACAAATATATCAGAAAGAGTACGTAGATCATAAGAAGCAGAAAGTGAATAGAGAAGAGTAGAAAGTGCAGTGCAATCAGGGCAAGCAGGAAGTAAAAAGGTGAAATGCAGTTAGGGCAGAGTAAAAAGTATAGAGCTGAGGATGCAGAACAGAAAGAGCAAGGTAGAAAGTCCATATAGAGGTCGACAAATCACGACAGTAAGTTACCAGCGAGTGGAGGAGTGCACTGTGATAGTTCATTGGCACTGTACAGCTATACACGTGACAGAATGTGAAACTTCTTAAGATAACAGGCAAAAATTATAAGCATGCACATTACATTGGTTATATATAACTTTCATGTTTCTGAACCGATTTCAATGAATCATGTCTTATTCGATAGAGAATTGAATTCTCTACAAGAACGTTTTATCAACAACTTCGATAGTTGCCCCGTTTTTGCGTTATCAGCTCCCAAATTTGAATCTTCCTAGAAATGTGCTGCAAATGTTCAATGTCGAGAACAAATATATCAGAAAGCGTAGATCATAAGAAGCAGAACAGAAAGAGAAGAGTAGAAATTAAATGCAGTGCAAGCAGAAAGTAAAAATGTGAAATGCATGAGTTAGGGCAGAGTAGAACGTGTAGAGTGAAAAGTATAGAGCAGAGGGTGCAGAACAGAAAGAGCAAGGTAGAAAGTCTATATAGAGGACAAAATCACGACAGTAAGTTACCAGCTAGTAGAGGAGTGCACTGTGATAGTTCATTGGCACTGGTGCAGCTATACACGTGACAGAATGTGAAACTTCTTAAGATAACAGGCAAAAATTATAAGCATGCACATTACATTGGTTATAACTTTCATGTTTCTGAACCGATTTCAATGAATCATGTCTTATTCGATAGAGAATTGAATTTTCTACAAGAAGGTTTTATCAACAATTTCGCTAGTTATCTCGTTTTTGCGTTATCAGCTCCCAAAGTTGAATCTTCCTAGGAATATGCTGCAAATGTTCAATAACGAGAACAATATCAGAAAGCGTAAATCATAAGAAGCAGAAAGTGAATAGAGAAAAGTAGAAAGTGCAGTGCAATTAGGGCAAGCAACAAGTAAAAAGGTGAAAGCGCCTACAAGTCTATCCCTTTCCCTTCAGTATTGCCAAGTCTACTGATTTATCAGTAGTTTTATTAATTTAACGATTGGTCTACTATATCTTATATGTTTTAACTTCAGGGTAAACGGAAACGTGTCCAGTTCAATGTTTACCCAGGTTATGTTTAACCCGCTATTAAGAAACCGGCCTTATAAGAAGTTAAGTTGGAAAAGTACAACATTGCAACAATACGATGGATCTATTTTACTACGCGGAGCAAGGTGATGGTTAGTGAATCCATGTTGGAGCAAAACACATAGGCACCTTGTCTTATGTCTCTACAGTATTTGTAGGTATATAGTCTAGGTATGTACCATCCTTACCTTATGCCTACAACAAATAATCATAAGTGCATTGTGCAGCTGTATACGTGACTAGAAACTTCTAAAGATAACAGGTAAAAATTATAAGCATTCACATTATTATTCTTTATTCGGAGTGGGACAGAACCGCGCAAAAGGAAAACAACTCTGATGGGCTCTTTCTCCTTCTATCTACGTTATATCTATGTGGAACACAGTACTTAAGTTCCCAGGGAAATAAATAAACAAACAGGGGGCTCGTGTTACATCAGCCCCCCAGTAAAAATGTTCTGTAATTCGCTGGGTGGTGTGAGTGTGCTATGCTGCTAGTTCTTTTGTAAGTTGGGTGCTAGATGGGAACTATAGAAATTAAAGCTATTGGAAAACTGTGGAGCCACTGTAACGCGTAGAATAATAAATACTACCTTTGGATTAAGCAATCGATCGACAAAGCAGAAAGAGCAACTGAGAGCCAAACATAAGGAGAACAGTAGAAAGTGCAGTTAGGGTAGAGTAAAAGGTGTAGAGTAAAAAGTACAGAGCAGAAAGTGCAGAACAGAAACAGCAAGTGGAAAGAAAGTGCATAGAGGTCGACAAGCTTTGACTATCGAAATTTATCGATAATTAGTTCTTGTAATAATTTCGATAGTGTCGATATTTGCTCGTTGTAAACATGTAAATATAAAGAAATACCAATAATGGAAGATTACTACGCGCTATTAAAATGCACCCCTGACGCAACCCCATTGCAAATCAAGCAAAGTTACCAGCGCCTGGCCAGAGAATACCATCCGGACAAAGGAGCCCTATCCAGCGAAAACTTCCTGGCAATCGACAAGGCCTACAAAATCCTGAAAGATGAGCTATCGCGGAAAGACTACGATTCTACTACGTTTGCCAGCACCTGCAACCAACACAGCCTGATCTATGCAGAATTAGCTAAAGAGGATATACGGTTGGATTGCGAGGGTAGGGCTTTCTACCCTTGCAGGTGCGGAGAAGATTTCCTTATAGAGAAAGAACACTTAGAAGAACCTGAATGCGTTATTGAGTGCGGCGAATGCTCAAATTCCATCTTGATTCGGTAGCAATGGGAATGGGGATGGGGAATTTTGATTTGGGTTTGCTTTACTGCCACTCTTTGCCTTTTGAGATTGATATTATAATGTAAATTATATGGATAATTAAAGATGTTTTTATTGTATTTAAGATCTTCTTTCCTACTTTCCTCTCTCGACTCAATTTGGTTTATATGTCAATTTGAAGCGAGCATTGTAGTTAACCTACAAATCTCTGTCAGTCAGAGTCAGAATCGTGAAAGCAATTTTGTTTTCACTTTATTCTGTTTTGGTTGTGTGTGACCTTCACTAGGCAAAGGGCTGAAACCGTTGTCGAGGTCATTACACTACATTATATAAATCGAATCTTATACAAAGATGAAAGATATCATTCGAGAAATAAGGGCTTTGGCCAAAGACAATGTTCACATAAAAAATAAAGATGCGCTAAGTCGACTAATCGACGATATGTGCAAAGGGGGCATGGGGAGGCTGCAAGTGATCAGCGATTTCGATAAGACGATAACGAAGCAGCACCACGAGGGGGCTCCGCACTTGAGCAGTTTCAGTAAGTACCACCCACAATCCACATAACAACAAAATACCTAATATTCATATTCTCATAGAACATTTGCTCAAAGTTTTCTGGAAAAATATATGAATATTCTAAGATTTTTTCGATTCAAATATTCATTTTCAGAAGTTCTTTCTATTCATGTATTTAGTATTTAGGAATGTTGCTTCTATATATAGGTACCTATACTTGAAAGATTGTGGTGAAAACCTACTTCATATAACATTATTTAAATACTGTGAATATACCAAGTTGTGCTGAGAAAATAGAACTTCGAAGAGATGGAGCCATACGCTTTTGAAGATCCGAAATCGGGTCTGCAATTAACGTCAGTACCATCAGTACCCAATGATTGGAAATTCGAATTTCTCCATTGCTTTATAAAGCAAAACCACCACGTTAAAATTTTATGGAAATATTTTTCCAATGTGAGAATATACATTCCAAGCATATTTTTAGAATAAAACAAGAATACCTATTCTTTCCAGCATGTCAGTACCTACTGAGAATGACATGGGTACTATATTCTAGGAATATTCTAATGGATATATTCCAGGAAGATCGTGGGTATTCGCAGGACATGGTTTCTCATTACACCCTAAGAATGCAGTTTTGTTATGTACCTCAAAGGACGAATAATATTTAATGTATTTTAGCCATGTTCAGCAATATGCCTGCAGTTGCAGCCAACGAGCACTATCAAAACACAGTGCGGGGTTTGAGACAGAAATATTATCCCATAGAGTTGGATCCTCACATACCTATTGCGGATAAAATTAAGCACATGGAAGATTGGTGGGGTATGTCGGAAAAGGCGATATGGTAAACCCAATGAGTCTAAATTTGTTCTAAATTTGAAACAGAAAACTTTTTTCAGTGGTTTGAAAATTACCCAACAGGACATTGATGATGTATGTGTAGTTTCTGATCCAGTACTAAGGTAAAAAAAGAGACAACCTTATATATATTTTTTTCTGTGGAAAATACAGGGTTATTATGGTAATTCGATAGCTTATTGAGATGTGATAGGGGATGAGATAAGGAGTAAAAACCGTACCATGCCTCAGGCATTTCAAGAAAAACAGAAACATTGAAATATCTCAAAATAAACTATTGGGTTTTGCTTAAATTTACTCCTTATTCTTCCCCTGTATATCAGAGATCCCTTGGGCTCAGAAATAGCTATATGAGGAATTTTATTTGACCATTTCTTGATTCCCTTACTATTCTTTGGTTTAGGGACGGTTCTGAAGAGTTTTTCAAAGAGTTAAGCGATCAAAATGTCCCAGTTCTTGTACTTTCTGCCGGCTGTGGTGATATAGTCCAAGCAGTTTTGAAACATCGCTGCGTCTATCATCCCAATGTAAAAGTACGTTATTGTATATCGAATAATTTTCCTGATACCAATAATGGAATAATTTAGGTGGTATCCAACTTTTTAAAATTCAACCCTGATGGTACGATAGCTGGATTCAAAGACAAAATCATCCACATCTTCAATAAAAACGAAACAGCTTTAGAAAATACGGATTTCTATCAGGAACTGGCCAAAAGAGACAATGCTATTATTTTAGGAGATTCCCTAGGAGATGCTAACATGGCTCAAGGCATGGAACATTGCAGGAACGTACTAAAAATTGGTTTTCTGTACGAACACGTAAGTATTTCAAATTATGTGTTATACGTTATTGCATTAAATTATTTCAAGATTGAGCATAATTTGCAACAGTACATGGACACTTTTGACGTAGTGCTGGTGGATGATCAAACAATGGAAATTCCTAGAGCGATCTTTGAATATCTCAGAGATTTTAAGTGATATTATTTTTTAATATTAGTTGGTGCCTAATTCAAATAGGTCTAATTTAATAAATAAAAACACAGTGCACCTCGAGATTCAACCATTTTTTTTTTATTAATTTATTGTCACTAGGCATCATTGTATCACATTTTCGTATATACATTATTATTGCTCAGTTGAACAAATAAATGCATTGTTCTGTGCTAGCAAAGTTGAATCAAAATTATAGGTACATTTATTAGGAAAAGGGTAAACATTCCCTGGAAAGACGGATCGATAAATAATACGTCCCATTTAGAATTGGAACAATTTACATGGGACAAGTTAAATAAGGCATAATTTACACACATTTTAAGAGATTCCAATTTACGACTTTTTGGGTTTTTTGCTAAAATTGAACAATTTCCTCTTTTTCTGCTTTTTCCCGTCGCCCATTGAAGATGAGTCTTCAATAAGTGAAGAATCAGTGGACCCAATATCGTCTTCAACAAGTATCGCCTCCTGAATGGGTGAAGTCCGCTGCAGGTCGGAAGAAGAAGAAGCTTTGGCTGTTATTTTGCCAATCTCTTCTACATTAATGTCCTGAGTGAAGGATCTCGTCATTGCGGGTTTCGGCATTTTGCCAAGTAAACTGATATTTGATTGGCTAGACGATTTGGTGTGAACGCGTTTGCTAGTACTACCGGGATCTTCAGGAAATGGGCTTAAATATGGATAATACACTATTATTGTTATTTTTTAATTGTATTTGTCTTACCTATCTCCGATCTGGAAAGAAAAATGGGCGCCGTCACCGGTTGATTCATTTGCGTTTTCATCTTGCTTGCCATTTTCACTTTCAGATGTTTCGTCTTCGTTGTGGGACAAGATTTGATACTGCTGATGACCTGCAAAAGTACCAGTTGCAAAAAATACGTACCCAATTAGTTAGTTATAGACACTAATAGGCAACTACACATACACAAACAGAAATAAAGATAAGGATAGTATTAATATGTACCAAACAATAATAAAAGCAACAAATATCCATATTATTGAACCAACAAAAGGTTGTTTGCTTAAACATCGTTTGAAAAGTTGCTGGTGAATTGTGGAGGAAAATAGGAACACATCAAAATAAAATTGGCCCCTTCCAAATCAAAATTTCTATATTTGAAACAAAGAGCACGCACAAATCAAGCGAAAAATAAATAATATTCCAATACAAGCATGCAATAATACATCAAAATAGTGCAACTAATAAATAAATAAGTACGATATTTTTATTCCTCAGCAGAGAGGAATAAAAATTATTCAGTATCATCTTCATAGGACACTTGCTTACCTAAACCATATACCGAGCCATTATCGTCGTTGATATCCAAATCATCTACGCTATTCATCCTGCCTAAAAATATATACAAAAAATGTGCCATAGACCTAAAAAAAAAACAATCATTTTCCTCACCTCCCGCTTCTAATCTGGCCTGTTGTTGAGCAGCAGGTTTCCTGTAAAGCACGTTCTCCAGAACTTGCAGGCCTGCATTGACCATCACAGAAAAGCCACATAACAGTTCAATTTGGCGCCATCGGTGCGCTCGCTCTTGTAACTCGTACGTGACTTCGTTCAAAGCACTGCGAGCCTGAACTATGGCTCGGTCCACATCGTCAATAGCCTTACCATGCGTGGACACGAAGGCGCCAATCAAACTGGAGCGTTTCTTTTTCAATTTCTCACACTGAAACATCAACAATTGGTTAGTTTATTGTCGATCCCTTAATAATTGTAATTGGTTGAGGTTTTTTTGGGATTGGATCTCTGTACCTATAAGTACTGAACAACTTATGGTACCATATTTTTTATGTAATGACATAGAAAGTCAATCTCAGTAAGTACCCAATACTATAAGCATAAGTGGAGTTGTAAGGACTCTATAGTAGTGTTCTAAAGATGTAATAATATATTGCGAAAAGTTGACGCAATCCCAAACAAAACCTCAACCAATTATAAAAATGTATGCATCAGCATATTCCTTATTCTATGCACATCTGTAAGCAAATCTATAACTTTCTGTAATCCTATAGAAACAGCAAAACGCATTGATTGCTTCAAACATTTTCTGTAAGCTACAGAAAATGCAGAATTGCAAATTGTCTATAGGCAGCTTATAGATTGGCTTATACAGATGTGCACAGAATTCAAAATTAACCAGAATTTGCAATTCTTACCGCTTCTCTGGCCTGTTGCAATTGCTTCTCTGCCGAAACTTTTTTCTTGTCGTAATTTTTCTGTTCCAGCTCGTACGTGTACTGGAGCCATTGCTGCAAACCAGGCGGCACGAAACAACTATTTTTAAAAGCTGCTTGCGTCATTTCCAATTGCGCTTTAAGTGCCTAGAAAAATCATACAATCACTTTATATTTTTTTTCGTACCCGATTATAAATTACATTAATCTCTTCTTTGTAATGTGTCACGTCGCTTTCAGAATAGGCGTTGGTCAATGTAGCACTGCCGCTTCCCGAGTCCTGCAACATCCGTTCTAATGTTTGCTTCTCGGAAATTGCTGCGTCCTGAGCCTCTTTGGCCTCCTCCAGTTGCCGCTGCAACTTTTCCAGTGCTTGTTCTGAAGACTGTAGACTGTCCATGTCGCGGTTCATTCGGTTCAAGTCGTTTTTGAATTTTTTGTTTTGCTGGTAGGCCAACACTCCACCCAACGCTCCCACTATCAAAGATAGTACCAGCGTGATGTCTTTCCAAGTGATTCCACCTTTTGGGGGTCCAAACAGGACTACGTCCATTGCTTTGAGGGAGATTTTTTGTTTGTGAATGGGATCTTTTATGCCTAATAAACCTAAGTAGTTGCCACTGTTGACTGCCAATCTAGAGTTGAAATACGTATTTTACACGAGTCAAGTTTGTCTTATACAGGGTGTCCCACGATGTTTTTCCCAGAATCTTAAATGTGACTTATGGTATATTATGAAATACAATGAAACATACAATGATGTGTTCCGAAGTTATCATTTGGGAAAAACCTCGTGTGGGACACCCTTGTATTTTTACCTTGGCAAATTGGCACCCTTGACTTTGTGCAAAACAAAATTGGGCACGTACTGTGGCAAGTGTACGTCATTGCTGAGCCAACCTGTAGTGTCTTCCACGGTCCAATTGTGGACTTCGGATTTGAGCCAAGCCTCCCACAATTCCTTTACCGAAATGTGCATGTCGTTGTCTCTGTGGAAGGCGCGTTGTCTCTTTTCAGCTCCATGATCATACTTGAGTTCTTCTTTGAGGAACTATAAAAGACAAGATTTTCTTACAAGATTAGGATTTTAGTTGAATAGTACGCACATCGTCAGACTCTGCGTAGTCAATATTTCCGTCTTCGTCGTCGTCTAGTTGTCTGTGCAAGGAGATTATAGCGTCGAGGCCTTGCTTATCGCTGGCGGCCATGGAAAGACAGGCAAAATCGTCGTAGTTGCAGCTTTCGAATGCATGTAGCTGACCTAAAAGGACACTCTATTATTTAGAAATGCGAGACCATTGACCATTTAGGTATGACGTGACACTGAAGAGCAACCAATCATTTTGTTGTCAAATTTAAAGCTTTGGATATTAGGACTTATCCAATTGAACTTGGATGTAGGTATAGATGTAGGTACACTATATAGGTTTGTTGAGAATTTTGATTATTCCCGGCTCTTGATTCAGCGCTAAAATCACATTTTGAATATTACCGCTTTTTGATTGGCTCTAAATTAGCCGCCAACCAATAGAATTATAGTGATTAAAATAACCCCGGCCCTTCGGGCTCATATAACTCCGGCCCTTCGGGCTCGCATAACCTCGGCCCTTCGGGCTTGAGATTTTAAAAAAACATATGGCAAAAACTGTATATAGGATTGAATCCATACCAACATGGAAAGGGTGACGAGATAGTCAGAAACAGGAAAATACCAGTGGCGTACACTCGATCGACCTACGAACGAATGGAGAATCACACGAAAATATACAAAACTGTATGCAGGGGCGCCGGGTTTCAGAAAACCTCGTGGGTGCTGATGTTCATGCACTGGCATTTATGAAGGAGGGTGAACAGCCCGCTGGTGACGAAAAAACTTCTCCAGAAGCCACGCCCAAAAACGTTTACCAGGATTCTTTAATTTACATTCGGACGAGTGTCTAAGAAGGGAATGGTAATACATTTCAAACAACGTAGTTCACACCTTTCCATATTCGTTTTCCAGCTGCGGGAACTAGTGTTGCTTGGTGCTTGCGTAAGTTTTTTGCGGTGTCTGCTAAAATTGGAAAAAAAAGGACGACTATAAGGGTAAAGAGTAGAGTGTTTTCACAGCTATCAGAACAATACCCACTTCTACCACGTAAAAGCCCCCCTCCAGCATAGCCATCATAGCCCACCATTAATCTATTTTCAAAAGGCGCCGCCTATCTAGAGATTTTTCCACGGTATCGAAAAACTTCCTAGGCTCAAGTGCCCCCAGCTATCAGACTAGCAGATTCACAAGCAAAATATTTATTATTGCAATAAAATTAATGCACCTGTTTATGACCAATACCCACCTCACAGCTATCAGAGCAATACCCACCTCCACTACGTCAAAAAGCTTTTACTCTGAAGAGGTACCTCTTTCCATATCCCTTCACTTTCTTGAAAACTAAAGAATATTTCAACAATTCCTGCATTTGTATTCGTCAATAGTGTTCTAAACTCCATTGCAATAATAACATTTTGCTTGTGAATCTGGTGGACCACTTACGTAGTAGAGGTGGGTATTGGTCTGATAGCCGGGGGCACTTGAGCCTGGGAAGTTGTTCGATACCGTGGGAAAATCTCTAGATCGGCGGCGCTTTTGATCTGAAATTTTGGGGATTTGACCCGGGCCAACCCCAAAATTGACGAATTCGAATACAAATGGAAGAATTGGTTAAATATTCTTTAGTTTTCAAGAAAGTGAAGGGATATAATAAAGTGCCATTTCAGGGTAAGAGCCTTTTGAAAATAGATTAATGGAGGGCTTTACGGAAGAGGGTTTACAGTGCAGGTGGGTAAAAAGTGCCTCCTCAGGGTAGGAGCTTCACGGAAGGGGGTACAGTGGAGGTGAGTAAAGTCCGCCTTACGAGTCTAGCACTACGACGTCTGAAGACCAAGGGGACATAACGCCATTCATTTCGAGTTTTATGCTGCTTGTTATAGGCGAGCGTGCAACGTTTTTGAATATTACTTTTTCCTTATAAATGTAGGTGTATAATATAAATAAATATTAAGGTATTTCTTATTGGTAGTCAAATAGGCAATATTGCAATTTTTTTATCCGCGTTCTTTCCATAGTGCTAGACTCGTGAGGCGAACTTTAGTGGTATGATGGCTGTGCTGGAGCTTGGAGGGGAGTTTTCACATAGTAGAGGTGGGTATTGATCTGATAGCTGTGAAAACACTCTAGTGTAAAGTGTGGAAAACTCTCCTGCAGATATTTTTTTCCAAGCAGCATGTACCGAAAATCTGCGTTTTATGCTGTTCTTCATAAAAGATTTCTGATTTTCTTCATCTTCTTCTTCTTCTAAACAAAAGTACCACCATGTTCTGATATCAACTGCCAGTACTCGATTTACTGTGCTGATTTTACTGTCATTTGCCGTTCCAATTTCAACAGGGTACTCTTGTGGTCATTCAGTACTGAATCGACTGAATCCAGTGTACCTACTGAAAATAATATCGGAACGGTGTCCAGTAAATTCAGTACTGACAGAGTTAATATCGGAACATAACCTATATAAGGCTATGGTCCAAATATAACCAAACGTTAACCATTAGCTCTGTTCCAACAGACATGAGAACCGTTCCAGAACCAATAATTTCCAGTTGCCAACCTATTTTTCAATAAGTTGAACGTTTTTCCTAATTGACAAATGGATTGATCGACTGGAAATTACCGTTCTAGAAAGGTTTTCATGTCTGCTGGAACAGAGCTAAAGTAACGGAATTGGTCAACAGATGTTTACTGAAAATTCCGGTTACTTTGGGGAACGCAAATATGGAAATAAAACATAATTGACAGAAGTTACAGATAAAACCTTGATAAAACCAACAGAACCGACATCCGATGGCCGGTAACTATTTTGACATTTGGTTAACCCAGATTTCAGGAACCCGAGGTACAAAATTAACCAGTTTTCCAGGAACTAAGTCTATGCTCGTGGGTGCTCGAGCCCCCGAGCACCCACGTAGTCGGCGCCCCTGACTGTATGATTATTCAAAAACTGTATCTACATAGAAAACTGTATGATTATTCAAAAACAGTACATAGGATTGAATTCATATTAACATGGAAAGATTGAGGGAATAGTCAGAAACAGGAAAATACCAGTGGCGTACACTCGATCGACCTACGAAATGCCGAAAAAATGTCATTTCTGCTTATAAATCAATGTGTGCCATCCAGAGCAAATTTTTCATAGTCATCTGTACTGAAATCCGAAATGGTCCATTGCAAATCAATGTCATAGTCGACTGCCCATAGGCGTTTCATATATTTTCCGGATAAGTATCTATAAATATGAAATTTTCCAATGTCTAGGAACAATCGTATGCCATGTATCAGACATGACAATAATAATATCTCTCATTCTCTCTGTACGCTTTTATTATGTAAATCGCCGTACTATTGACTGGGGTATTAGAAATATTCCGAGAAATATTCTATTAAGGGTAAGTGGTAGGTAGAATATAGGTAGTTTAGTTACCTACCTACTATGGCTGGTGCAATTAAGTTTTTACCGAATTTTCTGCTGTTGGAAGAATATCAATTAGTAATTGTTCTTTTACTCTTACAGAAAAGGGAATTAGGTATTTTGAATGTGTACAATGCTCTTGACCACCAACATCTGTTGTTAGAATTACTGAAATGTATTCAAATATGGCGGGAATTAGTCTAAAATGTTACACCCTTTTTCTACCCTGGTTAAGTCTTATAATCTTAATGATCTGCTGACACCTTATTAGTATTCTTGGGAAAACAGGTGGTAACGGGTAACCCAGCAGTGATCACAAGACACCTACTAGGTATAGGTCAGTGGTCAACCTGAAACGAGTTTGATAACCAGTGCAGGTTACCACCATAATTGTAAAACTGGATCTTAGTTTGTTCCCCAGGTAAACGCACTTTGGTCTCAGTTTTTCCATAAATACTGAATGGTCTGGCTTAAACAAATGGACTATAGAATGTTACTTACTATCGGCATACGAGTGTAGATTACTGGCAGAAGCGGTCCTTTGAACGGGAGGAGTCCTAGTCGTAGCAGTCTCCAAAATATTCGCCCCGATATTTTTCTTGCACAAATTGAGTACCAGCCAAAGAATTAACGTCTTGCAACTGTACATATTTATTTTCAGTAAGTATAATTGGCCTTTAAGTATCTGCCACCATAATAAAATTATCTATATATTTCCTAAAGTTTTGATTTTATATTATTTACTTAATTTTGACAATCAATTAAGTTTATCATGACCACCACCTCCATCAGTTCAACACTGTTGCGTTGACGTTTATTTGAAAACTTCCTTGTCATAGTAGGCTTTCTTTTCGCGTTAACTTTATTGTCCTGGGTATTCGAACACGAGAAATTTCACTCGAGCTCTAAACCCAAATGCACAGTTTTTGTTCTTAACTTTGTAAACGCGAGCAAAATGCGCATAGACGAGCGATAACTACCTACGAAAGGAAGACGTCGATAAAATGTATGTAGGGGACCAATGAAAATAGGCCACACCAACTATAAGTTATCGCAGCACAATTCGTTTTGTACAATGTGCTAGTTGCCTCGTTCTTTCTCGATGCGCTAAACAGAAATAACCGATGTTTTTTGTATAATTAGGACCTTTGTTCGTTTGTCCTGGTCAAAATTGCATCATCAATTTCATCATTAGTTTGCAAAATCCAAATAAATCAGAGGAAAAAGTAGTGTAAATTCGAAAATAATAATGTCCACCACAGGGGTACTTCCAGTTCCAACGATATTAAACATTTTAAACGACAGTAATAACAATTACATGGACGACCAGAATATGGATAATCACAGCAGGGCTAAAAAGAGGCGCCTCGACCATCTTTCCTGGGAGGAAAAAATCCAGAGAAAGTAAGTACCTAGTTATTTGATAACTTGAAATAAATAAAAACATAAAGAATATACAAATATAGGAATATAACAGTATCTATAACAATCAGGCCTATGATGTACCCTGTTATTTTAACAGTAGTTGTGTTATAGCTCTAAATCTATACCTGTCTCTATTTTTACGTGTAGAATAAACAGAGACAGATAAGATAACGTTGCTGTTAAAATAACAAAAAATTATAGGTACATCATAGGCCTGAACTAACTTAAGTTTTCAGATCACTGATGGTAACAACATTCATGAGAACGATACAAAAATTTAATTCAAATATAACAGATATATCATTATCATCTCTAGTAGTAGACATCAAAATTTACACTTGATGTTCATTATTAAATGCTTACAGTGTATTGTACATTTTAGAGAGGCCTGATCTTAGACGCCTGATATATACGAATATAGAGACCTTTATTAGTTGTGATATTATACCTAGGTACATAGAATCAGAAATCAACTAGTTTTTGAAAAAATTTCGATGTTTTATTCATTCATTCATTCTGGTAGATTATTGTTATAAGTACATTTTCAATATGCGATAATATATATACCCGCTATCTAAAGAAGAATACGATAATATGTTAGAATTCGACCTTATTTGATTATTATATGTTATGTTATAGTAGTAAAATAGCTACATGGACATTTTTAATATACGATAATATATGTTAGAAGGCGACCTTTAAATTGACTATTATATCTTATACCTATTATAGATATATTTGCACTTTAAACTATTCATCATTATTTCAGAAAGTTGAAAAACAGAGTGGCAGCACAAACATCGCGCGATCGTAAAAAAGCAAAACAGGAACAAATGGAAAGCGCAGTTCAGCAGTTGTACACCAAAAACGAAATCCTCCAAGCCGAATGTGAAAAGTTGCAAGCAGCCAACCAAAGATTGCTGGCCGAGAACGCAGAATTGAATCAAAGACTACAACAGTGCGACTCTTGTAAAAAGCTCCAAAGCTGTCCTGGTGTGTGCGCGTCCGAGAGCGGATCAACCGAGTCCCTCCTTCGGCCGAAAGGAACGGACGCCCACACAGCAGCAGCTTTGGAGAAGAAGAAGGACGCTCTGTTGAAACTGATTCTGGTTTGCCTTCTCTACCAGACCTCCTCGACGAACTGGAATCGGATTCTGTGGACCTCAACGCCTTGGAACAACTCACGCAAAGTCTACTCGAAGATATCGCCAGAGATCTTGAGAGCGCTGCGGAAAAGGCGGCTGATCAAGTAAGAATTTTCTTTAAAATGTTTGCTCAGGAATAACCAGTGCAACTCTTCGTATTATTTTAGATGGTTCTGCTTCAATGAATCCTCTAGACAGAGGTAAATTTATTATTTTCCCTGCAATACAGCAATATTGCGTGTAGCACAGTGTATTATCACATAACTTTATGTTAATCTTTTAAAAAACCATACGAAATATACCTAAATATAAAATTATTCTTTTTTTTTTTCTTCAAGGAATCAACATCATGTACTGGAGAAAATGAAAATCCTCCTGATGGAAAAGAAGTGGTGGGGTCACCACCAAAACACCTGGAATCCAAAGGAACTAAAACAATAGAGCCAGACAATGTCATAGAAGATATTTCAGAATATTTACTGCTTCACCACAACTATGCAAAAATGCCCATCAGCACCGCTGCTACTAGAAAATCACAAAAGAAACTCAAAACTATTCGACCTAAAGAAAAACCTACTAAAACCATCAGTCTTCCTGAACAACTGGAAAATAAAAATAACGAATTATTGTTTGGTACTTTTGACCAAAGCACTAACACCATTACGATTTTGGTTAACGATAACTCTAATAATTCATCTCCCAGATCTGATTTAGGCTACGAATCATTGGATTCGCCCGTCAGTACCTCGGACATGGATTCTTGGGATCACAGCGTATCTGAATTATTTCCAACATTGTTTTAATTATAGAGTATTTTACATTTTTTTATTTATTTTCTTATTTTTAAGTGGTCCAGGAAGAATATGTATTCAGATTTGATTTTGTATATTTTCGTAATTATTTCTATTGTATATGCAATAAATGTGTAGTGTGTAACGCAACGGCAAAAAAAACCCACAAAGATCTTTACTTTTCATGTTGTCCCTTCACTAAAATATTTCCCCCTTCTTGGGCTTAACAAACAAAGCAATAAGGGTCAATAAAACATTTGGCGTCAACCCTTGGTCGGGTACCTGCTTCGTATATACCCTTGTTCTTTTGAAACAACTAACGATTTTAACATGGGTAACTTTGGACAGAGGTAGTTTTCTTAATTTACACGTAGAGGGTAATCCAATATAATGGCAGTCAACTAAAATAGATCAGAATGTCTTGGTAAATCCATTGCCCATTTTTCTAAGGGTACCCCCTTTGGATTCTGAATATTTCAGGAACCGGCAAGGGTACTGGGATGAAACTCTCAGGTATTGTAGCTCTTAATAAGGGCTTTCTTATTTCGTTGAAATTGCTCTTAGGGTTTGTAAGAAAATCGAGTTTGAAGTTTTGGACCAAATCTTGGTTTTGAACCTCAATATCTTGGAAACTTCAAAAACTACAAAACTCAATTTTGCACGGTTTTATATAGAATTTAATATTCTTTCCAATAATGTATAATTGTGACCAGTTTTCGCAAAAGTCATGGAAGATATGGGCAATTATTCATGAGCGTGTCAAGATTTCAAAAAATTTCCAGAGCCAAAAATGAGATTTCCTTCTGGATTTTTTTTTTCTCATCAAAATTGTCAAATTTACCTGATGTTAGAGTTGTTTCTGACTAATTTGGACTCGCTCTATCGATTTCTGAAGTTAGAATCGAGAAAAATCCAAAAATAAAAATTTTCAATTTTTTGCACTTTTTCTTAAGGGTAACCCCTTGGGATTTTAATTTCCAAATCTTCGAACCTCGATAATTCAGTAACCAAAAGTGGTACTCGGACAAAATTTCTATAGATTGTAGCTCTTGATAAGGGCTTTCAGAAAATATTTATTTGAAATTGCTAGTGCTTAGGGTTTTTGAGAAAATCGAATTTGAAGTTTTGGACCAAATCTAGACTAAATTTCAACTTTGAACCTCGATATCTTGGAAACTTCAAAAGGTACAAAGCTCAATTTTGCATGGTTTTATAGAGAATTTAATATTCTTTCCAATGATGTATAACTGTGACCAGTTTTCGCAAAAGTCATGGAAGATATGGGCAATTATTTATGAGCGTGTCAAGATTTCAAAATATTTCCAAGCCAAAAATGAGATTTCCTTCTGGATTTTTTTTTTCTCATCAAAATTGTCAAATGTAACTGATGTTAGAGTTGTTTCTGACTAATTTGGACTCGCTCTATCGATTTCTGAAGTTAAAATCGAGAAAAATCCAAAAAAAATTTTCAATTTTTTGCACTTTTTCTTAAGGGTAACCCCTTTGGATTTTAATTTCCAAATCTTCGAACCTCGATAATTGAGTAACCAAAAGTGGTACTAGGACAAAATTTCTATAGATTGTAGCTCTTGATAAGGACTTTCAGATAATATTTATTTGAAATTGCTAGTGCTTACGGTTTTTGAGAAAATCGAGTTTGAAGTTTTGGAGCAAATCTAGACTAAATTTCAACTTTGTACCTCAATATCTTGGAACCTTGTAAAGCTACAAAGCTCAATTTTGCACGGTTTTATAGAGAATTTAATATTCTTTCCAATGATGTATAATTGTAACCAGTTTTCTCAAAATTCATGGAAGATATGGGCAATTATTCATGAGCGTGTCAAGATTTCAAAATATTTCCAGAGCTAAAAATGAGATTTCCTTCTGGATTTTTTTTCTCATCAAAATTGTCAAATTTACCTGATGTTAGAGTTGTTTCTAACTAATTTGGACTCGATCTATCGATTTCTGAAGTTAGAATCGAGAAAAATCCAAAAATAAAAATTTTCAATTTTTTGCACTTTTTCTTAAGGGTAACCCCTTGGGATTTTAATTTCCAAATCTTCGAACCTCGATAATTCAGTAACCAAAAGTGGTACTGGAACTAAATTTCCATAGATTGTAGCTCTTGATAAGAGCTTTCAGATAATATTTATTTGAAATTGCTAGTACTTAGGGTTTTTGAGAAAATCGAATTTGAAGTTTTGGACCAAATCTAGACTAAATGTCAACTTTGAATCTCGATATCTTGGAAAATACAAAAGTTACAAAGCTCAATTTTGCACGGTTCTATAGAGAATTTAATATTATTTCCAAAGATGTATAATTGTAACCAGTTTTCTTAAAAGTCATGGAAGATATGGGCAATTATTCATGAGCGTGTCAAGATTTCAAAATATTTCCAGAGCTAAAAATGAGATTTCCTTCTGGATTTTTTTTTCTCATCAAAATTGTAAAACGTAACTGATGTTAGAGTTGTTTCTGACTAATTTGGAATCGCTCTATCGATTTCTGAAGTTAGAATCGAGAAAAATCCGAAAATGAAAATTTTCAATTTTTTGCACTTTTTCTTAAGGGTAACCCCCTTGGGATTTTAATTTCCAAATCTTTGAACCTCGATAATTCAGTAACCAAAAGTGGTACTGGAACTAAATTTCTATAGATTGTAGCTCTTAATAAGGGCTTTCAGATAATATTTATTTGAAATTGCTAGTGCTTACGGTTTTTGAGAAAATCGAGTTTTAAGTTTTGGACCAAATCTAGACTAAATTTCAACTTTGAACCTCGATATCTTGGAAACTTCAAAAGCTACAAAGCTCAAATTTGCAAGGTTTTATAGAGAATTTAATATTCTTCCCAATGATATATAATTGTGACCAGTTTTCTCAAAATTCATGGAAGATATGGGCAATTATTCATGAGCGTGTCAAGATTTCAAAATATTTCCAGAGCTAAAAATGAGATTTCCTTCTGGATTTTTTTTTCTCATCAAAATTGTAAAACGTAACTGATGTTAGAGTTGTTTCTGACTAATTTGGAATCGCTCTATCGATTTCTGAAGTTAGAATCGAGAAAAATCCGAAAATGAAAATTTTCAATTTTTTGCACTTTTTCTTAAGGGTAACCCCCTTGGGATTTTAATTTCCAAATCTTTGAACCTCGATAATTCAGTAACCAAAAGTGGTACTGGAACTAAATTTCTATAGATTGTAGCTCTTAATAAGGGCTTTCAGATAATATTTATTTGAAATTGCTAGTGCTTACGGTTTTTGAGAAAATCGAGTTTGAAGTTTTGGAGCAAATCTAGACTAAATTTCAACTTTGTACCTCAATATCTTGGAACCTTGTAAAGCTACAAAGCTCAATTTTGCACGGTTTTATAGAGAATTTAATATTCTTTCCAATGATGTATAATTGTAACCAGTTTTCTCAAAATTCATGGAAGATATGGGCAATTATTCATGAGCGTGTCAAGATTTCAAAATATTTCCAGAGCTAAAAATGAGATTTCCTTCTGGATTTTTTTTCTCATCAAAATTGTCAAATTTACCTGATGTTAGAGTTGTTTCTAACTAATTTGGACTCGATCTATCGATTTCTGAAGTTAGAATCGAGAAAAATCCAAAAATAAAAATTTTCAATTTTTTGCACTTTTTCTTAAGGGTAACCCCTTGGGATTTTAATTTCCAAATCTTCGAACCTCGATAATTCAGTAACCAAAAGTGGTACTGGAACTAAATTTCCATAGATTGTAGCTCTTGATAAGAGCTTTCAGATAATATTTATTTGAAATTGCTAGTACTTAGGGTTTTTGAGAAAATCGAATTTGAAGTTTTGGACCAAATCTAGACTAAATGTCAACTTTGAATCTCGATATCTTGGAAAATACAAAAGCTACAAAGCTCAATTTTGCACGGTTCTATAGAGAATTTAATATTATTTCCAAAGATGTATAATTGTAACCAGTTTTCTTAAAAGTCATGGAAGATATGGGCAATTATTCATGAGCGTGTCAAGATTTCAAAATATTTCCAGAGCTAAAAATGAGATTTCCTTCTGGATTTTTTTTTCTCATCAAAATTGTAAAACGTAACTGATGTTAGAGTTGTTTCTGACTAATTTGGAATCGCTCTATCGATTTCTGAAGTTAGAATCGAGAAAAATCCGAAAATGAAAATTTTCAATTTTTTGCACTTTTTCTTAAGGGTAACCCCCTTGGGATTTTAATTTCCAAATCTTTGAACCTCGATAATTCAGTAACCAAAAGTGGTACTGGAACTAAATTTCTATAGATTGTAGCTCTTAATAAGGGCTTTCAGATAATATTTATTTGAAATTGCTAGTGCTTACGGTTTTTGAGAAAATCGAGTTTTAAGTTTTGGACCAAATCTAGACTAAATTTCAACTTTGAACCTCGATATCTTGGAAACTTCAAAAGCTACAAAGCTCAAATTTGCAAGGTTTTATAGAGAATTTAATATTCTTCCCAATGATATATAATTGTGACCAGTTTTCTCAAAATTCATGGAAGATATGGGCAATTATTCATGAGCGTGTCAAGATTTCAAAATATTTCCAGAGCTAAAAATGAGATTTCCTTCTGGATTTTTTTTTCTCATCAAAATTGTAAAACGTAACTGATGTTAGAGTTGTTTCTGACTAATTTGGAATCGCTCTATCGATTTCTGAAGTTAGAATCGAGAAAAATCCGAAAATGAAAATTTTCAATTTTTTGCACTTTTTCTTAAGGGTAACCCCCTTGGGATTTTAATTTCCAAATCTTTGAACCTCGATAATTCAGTAACCAAAAGTGGTACTGGAACTAAATTTCTATAGATTGTAGCTCTTAATAAGGGCTTTCAGATAATATTTATTTGAAATTGCTAGTGCTTACGGTTTTTGAGAAAATCGAGTTTTAAGTTTTGGACCAAATCTAGACTAAATTTCAACTTTGAACCTCGATATCTTGGAAACTTCAAAAGCTACAAAGCTCAAATTTGCAAGGTTTTATAGAGAATTTAATATTCTTCCCAATGATATATAATTGTGACCAGTTTTCTCAAAATTCATGAAAGATATGGGCAATTATTCATGAGCGTGTCAAGATTTCAAAATATTTCCAGAGCTAAAAATGAGATTTCCTTCTCGATTTTTTTTTCTCATCAAAATTATCGAATGTAACCGATGTTAGAGTTTTTTATGACCAATTTGAACCCGCTTTATCGATTTTTAAAGTCAAAATTGGGAAAAATCCAAAAGTTTTCAATTTTTCGTATTTTTTCCCCCATTGCAAATCTTCAAACCTGAATATCTCGGTAATCAAAATCGGTACGGGGACGACATTTTACACGGCTCAATAGAGAATTTAATACTCTTTCTAATGATGTACGTATACCTATTTGAATAACGATTATAAATCTATAGGTATATATTTATTTAATTGATAATCCACCCCAACATAAAAACTTGAAAATGCCTTGGAAAGTACCTATACAAGCGACAAATGTAAAGTTTTTCCAGGCAAAAATTGAAAATGTTCCACGTTTCAAAACGTCATGAAACTTTAATCGTATTCGTTTCCGACAACTAAAAACCCTGTTTCCTACCTCGATCATGGGAAACTTTTTTCAAATAGATTACGATTACCTACGTCAATGAAACAGAGACAATTTGTAATATTATATACTAGAGTATAGAGTCTTTCCATGGAAAACAATTTTTTTAATCAAGTTGCCTTCTGATCTATGGTTCGGAATTTAATATTTTCCACAATCCGCATGAAAGAATAACGTATCAGCAAAACAAAAGGGAAAAATAATTTGTAATTTATACACCCCTAACGTGGAGACAAACATTTAGGTTCTTATGTATTTCTGATTACCTTTGGTACTTCAATACGACGCAGTCGTGTTTTGGAATGATATACTAATGTAGGCATTTTTATTGATTTCAAAAACCATCAACGCTTGAGTAAAACAAAAAAAAAAACGTTTAATAAATTGAAATAAATATTTACAATAATTCTTAATTAAATAACTTAATTCAGTCCAAGAAAACCATATTCAATTTATGTATTATGTACACGCTCCTGGTTCTAATTGAAATGGAACTTAAACTGGAACGGGCTCCCTTGGAAACCTTGGAAGTGCTGGAAATTGGGGTGCATGTTTTGATGTTTGCCTGACTCAGGATCTAGAGGATCTTCTCCGCTATCGAATTGTCTCCTTTTTTCTTCGTCCGTTAACACTTCTTTAGCAGCAGCGATATCGATGAACTTCTTTTCCGCAATCTTTTTCATTTTTTCATCAGTTTGGTAGTTGTCGGGGTGCCATTTTTGGGCCGCTTTTCTATAGGCTTTAACGATTTCTTTTTTGGTTGCTGTCCTCTTTACACCTAAAATTTTATAATAGTCCCTTCTTTCTGCTTGTTTCTGTCTATTTTCGGCTTTATTTAAGCCTTCTTTGGCCTTTTCTAAATTGCTGTCTATTTTTAAAGCAGCCTTGAAATCCCTTATGGCATCGTCGTATAGTTCGGATTGAAGATAGGCTTCGGCTCTGTCACAGAACACATTTGGGTCTTCTGTGATGTCTAGGGCGTCTGTACAGGCGGTTATGGCTTCTTCAGTTTGTTCTTCGTTGGCGTAACAGCCACAAAGTATTCGTTTGGCTTCAAAAATGATTTGGCGAACATCTTTTTCGTTTTTGATAACTTTTAGAGCTGCTTCAATACCTGTAAATGTAATGTTTCATAAATTAATAAATATTTTAATTAAGGTTTTGTTGATGTTTGTAGTTACCTCCAATGTAGTTTTGATTTTCCATAGCAGTTTCAGCTTCAACTAAAAACTTTTCGATTTTTTTAATTTTTTTATAAAACTTGAAACACTCTTTGTGTTCTGGGTCTAATTTCAAACACTCCCTGATAGCTTTTAGAGCCTCTGTGGCGTGTCCAATTTTATAGAGCATTTGAGATAATTTCAAGTAACCAGCGGTGTCGTCACTTTGCAATTTGGTGGCTACACGAACATCGGAAATTGCTGCCATTTCGTCCCCGTTTTCCAAATGCAATTCGGCTCGAAATTCGTACAAATCAAAGGCCCAAGGGCTCATTTCTATTGTCTCTGATAAATAGTGAATAGCACTGACATAGTCGTTCATTCCGTAATAATATTCTGCAGTTCGTTTACTATTTCTAGCCGGGTCTATTCGCTGCATTAAGTCATGGGCCTCCACATTATGGGGGTCTACTTTGAGAACATTATAAAAGTCTAATTGAGCCTGGTCGTAATTGCCCTGTTTCAAATGAATGTTACCGCGTTCGATTCTAGCGGCAGTGAAATCGGGCTTCAGCTCTATAACCCTATCGAAGTCTCCCAAGGCATTTTTGGCTTTTCCTAGGGCTAAATAAACCGTGCCCCTTTTAAAATAGGTGAGGTAGTTTGTGGGGTCCCCGTCCACAGCGGAATGATAGTGACTCAAAGCGTCCCCCAGCTGACCTTTAGAAAGGTATTCTTTACCCAATTCCAGATGCTTGTTTATTTCAGTTTGCGATAGACCTTCGACGACGGTCTCCAAAGCCAACAACACCAAATACGGGGTGATCCTGAGCCACACGCTACCGGCCATAATGTCGCTAACGAACACGGGACTGGGCATATTTAGATTTTCGACCGACAAACTATTCGCAATACACTGACGATAAGGTTTTTAGCTTAACATTTTCGTAGTTTTTAATCAAGGAATTTTAAAATTCGAATCGAATCGTGTTGTCGGCCGATTGGTCAGCGTGTGGGGAGTGAGCAGCCTTGATTACGTCACGTCATAAGTTTGACACAAGGAGCCTTGTTGCAGTTCAGCACTCTGGGTGTGAGAGTGACCCTAGAGTAACTCTAAACCGTTCATAAATTAACAGGTGCTTACTCGGAGCGGTACGCTGGAATCGTTCAGAAATCGAGAATTGACGTGTCCAGAGTGTGCCCATTGTAGATTGCGGGGCTTTTTCAGCCGCTCAGCACTGCTACCTTTGCAGATATTTTGTACATGGACTCTACATTTCAAATTGTCTCCAGGAAGCGGAGACTTCTGCCGAAGGAAGCTATTTTCCTGGGTGTTAGTTGGCCCACTTCTTCTGGTGACAGTGTGAGGAATTTGAGCCTCTTGCAGAATTGGGCTGGACATTCGCAGAGCAGCTGCTCTGCGGTCTCTATTTGCGTCTGAGCAGAATCTGCAGAGATCGTCTTCCGCTCTGCCAATAAACCTTAGATGGTATTTTACTAGGAAGTGTCCTGTGAGCAGTCCCACCACCAATCTGATGTCTGGTCTGCTCATGCTTAGAAGCTGTTCAGCTCTTTTTGCTGAAAGGGTAATAAACCTTTTTGACTGTCTGTCCCGGAGTGTGCCTCCAGTATGATGACAGTTGGTCTTTCTCCCATTTATTGAGTTCTTCCATGATGTGGCTTCTCATTAAGCCACAGTAGGGCTCTGGTCCATGGTATGGTGTTGAGGCCCCTTCTTTTGCGAGGCCATCTGATTCTTCATTACCTTCTATGCCTCGATGACCAGGTAGCCACATCAGCGTTACCTCTGGTTGTGTGTCGCTAGTGTTTTTAGGGTCTTTTTACACTCCCCGACTAGTTTTGGCGTGCATTTGAAAGCCCTTAAGGCTTTTAAGGCAGCTTGGCTTTGCACATATAGGTATCTATGGTAAGATGTTTACCCAATGTCTTGGAGAGCTTGAAGTTAGGGCCGGAGATGCCCAATCCAGCTCCTTCCATTAATTAGCTTGGATCCATCTGTGTACCACAGAGATACATTGTCTGCTTGTGGCAATTCTTTATTCTCCCATGATTGGCGGTCGTTTATTACCACTGCGAATGGGATCTCTAAGTCCAATCTGACCTGCACTGGGTTTGCTGGCATTCTCCAGTTTTATTAAATCAAGGATTCGCAGATGTCCCCTCAGATCACCAGGCTTGAACTTGTCTATTTGGAATAGCCTGTGAGCGCTCGTTATTGCCTCCTTTTTCACACATAGATGAAGTGGGGGCATGTTGAGTATTAGTGTCTCTAAGGCTGCGGTGGGGCAAGTTGACATTGCTTCCGTTATTCCTAGACATATCAGCCTTTCTGAGCTTGATCTGAGCAGTAACTTGTTGGGTTTTGGGCCACCACACCAATGAGGCATGTGACCATGGGTTTTATTAGAGTTTGGTAAATCTAGAATACCATCTTTGGCTTTAGCCCCCATGTTTTGCCAACAATGGCTGATGTAGCTCGAGAGCATGTTTTCTCTAACTGTTTGTTCCAAGTGAGGGTTCGGTGCAGGGTGACCCCTAAAGTACTTCACTGTGTGTGTGCCCATTTAGAGAATGGGCCCCAATACGTTCAAAAATAGCTCACCCAGAGTGCACTCCAAGTGATAACATCAAAACACTCTGACAAACAACTACTCTACCGAACTACTCCATTTCTAAACGCACTCCAGTAGTGTTAGACTCTTTACTCTATCTACACTGCACCGCGATCTTTTTATGAATCGGAAATCGCTAGAATTGCTTTAACCTTTAAAAACAAAAATTGTTTTCGTATTTATAAATTTAAATTTGTACAATTTCAATGATGAACGATCTGCCTAGTATTCTAATAGTCAGCTCTAGCAACACAAAACCCCAATCTATCATCAAACTTTTAACAAAAGAAACTCCGGTGGAGTATCCGCCAGGACTCTTTAAGCAATTATGGAAAATTGATACAAAATATTACTCCGCTATAGTAAATTTAATTGGAATGCACGTAAGTTACAAGAGAAACGAGGAGTTCAATAAACACATTGAAGCTCTTATAATACATATGGATTCTAATAAATCCACTGGTCTAGAGGAGTTGAAGCAATGGGAGGAACTAGAGACAGATTGTGACCCAGAGGTATATAATCACTATACCTTGGATAGTTTATGTAAACTAGCTATTAGCTGTAACATAATATATTTTCTAGATCAAATTAATTATTGCAAATTACTGTAATGAAGACACAAAAATAACTAAAACAGAAGCCACTGAATGGTGCTTAAATAAGGGCTTCGAACTAATTGAATTATACCCTTCAGATGAGCAAAGCATTCAAAATGCAGAACAAGACATAATCCAGGAAAAATTTGGTATACATAGAGTTGTTGAAGCTTTACAAGCACACACCTGGTCAAATTTAGTAATGAAAAAATTCAAAAACAACAAAGCAGAAAAGCCTGATTCTCCAGCAGAAGACCTTTCAGAGGAAGACAATTTTTCTGAACTGTTTTCCCATTTACACATGATGAAAGACAGTCTGCAATCTTTGCCTTTGAATCAGAGGAAACAGTGCGCAGAACAAATGGTGTCTGCTTTTTGGAATGCTATTGGGGGAGATGAAGAAGAACTATCAGACTTGTAATGATCAATATTTTATTTAAAATAAAAAAAACCTACTATTAATGCAAATGTTCAGGCATTTCTTGTACTTCAACTTTGGTAGCTTTCAAAGCTACTCCTTCAGGCAAATTCCTTTCCACATATTCCAAAAGAGTGTCAGCAGTTGAGCCTGTTAATTTGTGGTATTGCAAAAAGGCATAATAAGTTCTAGTTTCATACTGAACCCTGTGTTTCTTGTAGATGTGCACTGACTTCAGAACGGTGTAACGTTCGTGCACTGGTTTCTTTAAACTCCACCTGAAATAAGAAGAATTGTGCACCGAGTTTGGAGTACTCTGTTCTGATAGCGATTTACATTTGTGCGCACTAATAAGCAAATTGAAATCGCTATTAGAGTTTTCACTGAATCCTCTTACGATTTGGTTTCCAATCCGAAATGATTGCCCGCCGTGACGGCGAATTTACAAAAACTCTTAATTACGGCAGGTTCATTGCCTCGCACTTCCAATTCTAAGGTTTTAATAAGTTTATCACTGACAACTGGTGCTTCGATTTGTGATGTCGCATTATTATTATGGGACAAAGTAGACGCTCTTCTAGAAATAATTCGTGGAACTAGCAATCTGAGGGTGTTCTAAAATGATTATTTTAATTTAAATATTCTACTATTTGAATTTTCTACGTACCATTTTTCTAATGTTTAGTTTTATTTGAGGTTATGATGGATGCTGTAAATTTTGACACTCGTAGGTGTTTTCTTTCCTAATTGAGTTCGGAATGGGATCTTAATGCAGTGCTAGTGCAGTGTTATATCACGTGATGAAGGTGTAATCGGCGGTGTAACACCGAATACACCATCATTTTGTACCGCGTAAACGGTGTCTCACCATGTTTACATTATTCAGACACCAAATTATTGTCAAACGCTGAAAAAGTGTACACTAAATACTCCTACCAATTACCGAACGCCATAGTGTCAATAGTGTAAAAAGTGACGAAACTTTCTACCATTCCGAACTCACCTTTAGTATGTGTAGTGTAGTGAATTCACTGATGGTGTAACAGAACATTTTTACCGGGGGGGATGTACCGCGAGCCCATCTTCCGTTTATCTATTTCGCTCAAAAGTTTAACACCACATAGATATGACATTAGAGAGATGGAGAAAGAGCCATTTCCTTTTTGCACGGTTCTGTCTTTATCCTCACTCCTACGCTATATAGGAACATAATATGTGCATACTTATCATTTTTGCCTGTTATCTTAAGAACTAAAAAGTTTCACATTCTGTCACGTGTATTAGCTGCACAGTGCCAATAAACTATCACAGGGCATTCTCCACTCGTTGATAACTTCTAACTGTCGTTGTTTGTCGACCTCTATGGACTTTCTACCTTGCTCTTTCTGTTCTGCACCCTTTGCTCTGTACTTTTTACTCTACACCTTCTATGTAGTCTGCTCTAACTGCACTTTCTATTTTTCACCTTATGCTCTACAGTTTCTGCTTGACTCAAATGCACTTTTTGTTTTGTCCATCGATTGCTTAATCCACACGTAGTATATTCTATTCTACTCGTAGATTTATGAATTCGGTAAAATAAAGGGTTCGTTACAAGAGTGGTTCCACGGTTTTCCAATAGCTATAACTTTTTAGCACCCTATATGGTTCCCATCTAGCACCCAACTTACAACAGAACTAGCAGCACACCACACTCACACTACCCAGCGAATAACAAAACATTTTTACCGGGGGGTCGATGTAACACGAACTCCCTGTTCATCTATTTCCCTGGAAGCTTTAGTACTGTGTTCCATATAGATATATAAGGAGAAAGAGCCCAAGAGTTGTTTCCCTTTTGTGCGGTCCTGTCTTTATTCCCACTCCTACGCTATATGAGAACGACTAGAATAAGGTGAATGCTTATCATTTTTACCTGTTATCTTAAGTAGAAGTTTCTAGTCACAGCAGAAACAGTGCACTTATGATTATTTGTTGTGAGAATAAGGTAAGGATGGTACATACCTAGACTAGGTACCTACAAATACTGTAGAGACAGAGGACAAGGTGCCTATGTGTTTTGTTCCAACATTAAGACACATTCAACATCACATTGCTCCGCGTAGTAAAATAGATCCATCGTATTGTTGCAATGTTGTACTTTTCCAACTTAACTTCTTATGGGCCGGTTTCTTAGCGGGTTAAGCATAATCTACCTGGGAAAACATTGAACTGGACACGTTTTCGTTTACCCTGGAGTTAAAACATATAATATATCGTAGACCAATGGTTAAATTAGTGGAACTACTGATAAATCAGTAGACTTGGCAACACTAGAAGGAAGGGAAAGACTTGTAGGCGCTTTCAATTCAAATGCAATGGTGTGGTGTTTCAGCTAAAAATTTAGGGTCAGCAAGGTAGCAAACGGAAAGAGTACACTTTTGAATCTAGACACGAAATAACCAATTCACTATTTAGTATTTAATTTATATATTTAATAGTTTTTTAATATCAGGAAATCTCTGGTAGAAACTAGAAAACATGTCTTTTAACTTAAGCAATAACAAGCTAGGTACTTAAGTAGGAAAATGGTAACATAACAGCTGTCAAGAACTAAATAATATGCAATAATAATAATGGAACAGGCAAGAAAGGAATTGTTTATTAATTTGTATTGTTAATGGCCTTTTTTCAATCAAATGTGATGGATTAGTTGATTAAAATATTATGGTAAGTACCCCTATACAAAAAATTAGGTAACCATAATACTAATTAACCTATAATGATATGGTATACTAAGGACTAAGGAGGGTGTATTGTAAAAGGGGTCTTATCTAAAACACAATACCGGTACCTTTAATTTTTAGGGTGCCAACATATCCCAACTGGAAAGAGATATTGGTTCAGAATTTCCCTGTAATGAACATTATTTTGGATTAGTGAATGTAAGTCCTCACTTATAAGTTTCTATGATAGAATAACACTAAAACTTTATCCATAGTTTGGTAATACTTGCTACAGCAACTCGGTGCTTCAGGCCTTGTATTTTTGCAAACCATTCAGAGACAAAGTGTTGGAGTACAAAGCGAAAAACAAGAGGACCAAAGAAACTTTGCTCACGTGCCTGGCAGATTTGTTTCACAGTATAGCTACTCAAAAGAAGAAAGTGGGTTCGATTGCGCCCAAAAAGTTTATTGGGCGTTTGAGGAAGGAAAAAGGTAAATGCTGGAACAGGGTGCAGCTGCCTGGTCTATGCAAACCTTCAAAGAGTACAGTTTCCTTGATTTTTGATCTATAAAGCACTGATGTATATTGTAATTAATGTATAATGTGATTAATTTATAATGTAATTAATGTATATGTGCTTTCTGTATGCTCTTATGTCCACAAGGGAGAGAACCTGAAGAAATATGTTGACCATTACCTGGGCAAACTGCAGATTCCAAGTAGTCATAGATATGTTAACCAGTTATTTGAGTCCAAAATTGCCTGAGAATGTTGAAAAGATGAAAAACATGAAAATATTCCACTTTATGTACCTATGTGTGTATATTGATGAACTTGCAGTGGGTAGCATATCCTTGAATCTCCATCATTTGATTTCGATGGATCTCTGTGTATCTTCTCCAAACCTTTACTACATTAATAACCAAAGATTTCCACCGGATCTCCACGTATCTTCAATAAATCTTCATGAATCTCTTATTATTAGATATTTATGTATATATATCTATGGATTTCTACATATCTCCACGAGATTTCCAATTTATAGGGTAGAAGATTTCCAAAGTGTGGCTACCCCCTTGGAGCTAATAATTTACGATTTTTTAAGACAGAACATAATCTCCATTTGTGGAGATCTTCAGGGAACTCTATAGATTCATGGATCTCTTGAGATCTTCAAGCATATCCTTAGATATCCATATAGATCATTTGATTTCCATATAAATCTGTGTATCTTCTTCAAACTTTAACTACATTAATAACCACGTATTTCCACCAGATCTTCACGTGTCTCCAATAAATCTTCATGTATCTACCAGATATTCATGTATCTGTACAGATATCTATGGATTTTCTCATATCTCCACAAGATTTCCATCCTTTAGGGCAGAAGATTTCCATAGTGGGGCTATAATCCTCTCAAAGCTAGTAATTTGCGATTTTTTAAGACAGAACATTATCTCCATTTGTGGAGATCTTTAGGGAACTCTATAGATTCATGGATCTCTTGAGATCTTCAAGCATATCCTTAGATATCCATGTAGATCATTTGATTTCCATATAAATCTGTGTATCTTCTCCAAACCTTTACTACATTAATAACCATGTATTTTCAGTGGATCTTCACATATCTCCAATAAATCTTCATGTATCTTTATCAGATATTTATGTATCTGTACAGATATCTATGGATTTCCACATATCTCCATGAGATTTCCATCCTTTTGGGCAGAAGATTTCCACAGTGTGATTATAACCCCCTCGAAGCTAGTAATTTGCGATTTTTTAAGACAGAACATTATCTAAGGATATTTAGATATCCATGTAGGTCATTTGCATTCCATATAAATCTGTGTATCTTCTCCAAACCTTTACTACATTAATAACCACCTATCTCCAATAAATCTTTATGTATCTCTACCAGATATTAATGTACCTGTACAGATATCTATGGATTTCCACATATCTCCATGAGATTTCAACACACATCACACAATTTATAAAACTACTATAAACTTGTAAAGACCTATTGGTTTTACAATAATGTCCTCACTTATAATATGTTCATGCATATAGATATTTTGTACATAACATTTGGGTGCTTCCAAAACATACAGCAGTTAAATCAGTTAGAGGTGCTATTATTTATGTATTATGTTCCTTAAATAATGATCAAATTATTATTAAATAAATTTTTGCAGAGGAATTTGACAACTACATGCAGCAAGATGCGCACGAATTCCTAAATTTCCTAATCAACCACATCAGCGAAATAATACTGGCCGAAAGACAGCAGCAGCAAAACAACACAGGAGGAGCGTCGTCCAACAATGTGAACAAAAGCAAGGGAGCTGGTGAAAATGGCAGTGCAAACACTGGCCAGCCAGAGCCTACTTGGGTGCAGGAAATTTTCCAAGGTATCCTCACCAGTGAAACCAAGTGCCTGAATTGCGAAAACATCAGCAGTAAAGATGAGGACTTTTTCGATTTGCAAGTGGACATTGAACAGAACACCTCAATAACCCACTGTTTGCGTTGTTTCAGTAACACAGAGACGCTTTGTAGTGATAATAAGTTTAAGTGTGATAATTGTTGCAGTTATCAGGTAAATATAGTGCGTTTTAAAAGAGAATATGATTTTATATGGATATTTATTACAGGAAGCCCAAAAAAGAATGAGGGTGAAAAAGCTGCCCACTATTCTAGCCCTGCATTTAAAAAGGTTCAAATATGTTGAACAATATAATAGGCATATTAAAGTATCTCATAGGGTGGTGTTTCCTTTGGAACTTAGGCTATTCAATACTGTAAGTGGTATAGTTTTGCCAAAATCAATTGGAACAAGGTGACAAAAGTTTTCAGTGAACAGTTGGTACCTTGTTCCAATTGAATTTGGAAATTTTACTATATAACTTGCAATGGAATTTTTTTTTTAGTCTGATGATGCAGTTAATCCTGATAGGCTGTATGACCTGGTAGCAGTTGTGATACATTGCGGCAGTGGCCCTAACAGGGGTCACTACATTAGCATAGTGAAAAGCCATGGGTTTTGGTTGCTGTTTGATGATGATCAAGTCGATAAAATCGACTCTTCAGCAATAGAAGACTTTTACGGTTTGACTTCAGACACCCAAAAATCATCAGAAACTGGCTACATCTTATTTTATCAGAGTAGAGAGAGCTTATGAGTCACATTTGGAGACTATTTCAAACAAGAACAAAATACTTTATGTATTTTTAATTTGTTTTTGTTAGTGGAGTTTTAAATAATTTGTAAATAATAGAGTTCGCTTTTGAATATTTTTTACCAAGTTCCTTTTATTTGTTTGTTTTTTTTTAGTGAAAATTCACTTTTATAATTATAATACTGATATAAGATGTCATTTATATGAAGTGAGATAAATTATATCCACTCAAAATGTGTAGCAATAAACAATTAAATCAATCAAAAACAAATTTGGTGTGTATGTAAAGTCTGTCCAAATATCCTCCAGTTTAGAGTAATATTATTGTGAATACTGCTTAGCAGATGCAATTTTTATTTTGTAAATAACACAACTGAATTATCTATTTTGTTTTATTTAGTTAGGAATGTATCTTAGCCTATTCCTGCAATACTGTAGAGACAGGACACAAGGTGCCTATTTGTTTTGCTCCAACATAGATGCACTATAAATTATAGTAGCCATAGTAAAATAGATCTATTGTATGGATCTTGACATGCTGATGAGTAATTGTCAATATCTTCAATGGCATTTGAGCAAATTGCCTACAGTTATGCATCATTAAAAAGAGAAATAAATTCTCTTCAAGCCTATATAAGGCTGGGTTTTGTGGCTTATATAGTTTTCGAGATATTGAGCCTCAAACTTGAAATTTAGTCCAGATTTTGTCCAAAACTTCAAATTCGATTTTCTCAACAACCTTGAAAGCCAGCGATTGCAACTAAACACCATCTGAAAGCCCTTATCAAGGGCTACAATCCATGAAAATTTTATTCCAGTACTGCTTGTGGTTACCGAGATATTCAAGATTGAAGATTTGCAAATAAAAATCCAAAGGGGGTAGCCCTAGGAAAGAGCAAAAAATTGAAAATTTTTATTTTTGAGTTTTTCTCAATTTTGACTTTCTCAATCGATAGAGCGAGTCTAAATTAGTCAGAAACAAGTTTAACATCACTTACATCCTGACAATTTCAATTAGAAAAAAATTCCAAAAGGAAATCTCAGTTTTGGCCCTGAGAAGTTTTTGGAATCCTGACACTCTTATGAATAAATGCCAATATCTTTGATGAGATTTGAACAAATGGCTAACAATTATACATCATTGGAAAGAGCATTAAATTCTCTATAAGGCTGCACAAAATTGGTTTTTGTGGCTTGTATAGTTTCCGAGATATTAAGCCTCAAAGTGGAAAGTTAGTTCAGAAATTGTCCAAAACTTCAAATTCGATTTTCTCAAAAACCTTGAAAGCCAGGGATTTCAACTAAACGCCATCTGAAAGCCCTTATCAAGGGCTATAATCCATGAAAATTTTATTCCAGTACTGCTTGTGTTTACCGAGATATTCAAGATTGAAGATTTGCAAATAAAAATCCAAAGGGGGTAGCCCTAGGAAAGAGCAAAAAATTGAAAATTTTTATTTTTGAGTTTTTCTCAATTTTGACTTTCTCAATCGATAGAGCGAGTCCAAATTAGTCAGAAACAAGTTTAACATCACTTACATCCTGACAATTTCAATTAGAAAAAAATTCCAAAAGGAAATCTCAGTTTTGGCCCCGAGAAGTTTTTGGAATCCTAACACTCTTATGAATAGATGCCAATATCTTTGATGAGATTTGAACAAATGACTAACAATTATACATCATTGGAAAGAGCATTAAATTCCCTATAAGGCTGCATAAAATGGGTTTTTGTGGCTTATATAGTTTCCGAGATATTGAGCCTCAAATTGGAAAGTTAGTTTAGAAATTGTTCAAAACTTCAAATTCGATTTTCTCAAAAACTTTGAAAGCCAGCGATTGCAACTAAACACCATCTGAAAGCCCTTATCAAGGGCTACAATCCATGAAAATTTTATTCCAGTACTGCTTGTGGTTACCGAGATATTCAAGATTGAAGATTTGCAAATAAAAATCCAAAGGGGGTAGCCCTAGGAAAGAGCAAAAAATTGAAAATTTTTATTTTTGAGTTTTTCTTAATTTTGACTTTCTCAATCGATAGAGCGAGTCTAAATTAGTCAGAAACAAGTTTAACATCACTTACATCCTGACAATTTCAATTAGAAAAAAATTCCAAAAGGAAATTTCAGTTTTGGCCCTGAGAAGTTTTTGGAATCCTGACACTCTTATGAATAAATGCCAATATCTTTGATGAGATTTGAACAAATGGCTAACAATTATACATCATTGGAAAGAGCATTAAATTCTCTATAAAGCTGCATAAAATTGGTTTTTGTGGCTTGTATAGTTTCCGAGATATTAAGCCTCAAAGTGGAAATTTAGTTCAGAAATTGTCCAAAACTTCAAATTCGATTTTCTCAAAAACCTTGAAAGCCAGCGACTGCAACTAAACGCCATCTCAAAGCCCTTATCAAGGGCTACAATCCATGAAAATTTTATTCCAATACCGCTTGTGGTTACTGAGATATCCAGGGTTGAAGATTTGCAAATAAAAATTCAAAGGGGGTAGCCCTAGGAAAGAGCAAAAAATTGAAAATTTTTATTTTTGAGTTTTTCTCAATTTTGTCTTTCTAAATCGATAGAGCGAGTAAAAATTAGTCAGAAACAAGTCTAACATCACTTACATCCTGACAATTTCAATTAGAAAAAAATTCCAAAAGGAAATCTCAGTTTTGGCCCTGAGAAGTTTTTGGAATCCTGACACTCTTATGAATAAATGCCAATATCTTTGATGAGATTTGAACAAATGGCTAACAATTATACATCATTGGAAAGAGCATTAAATTCCCTATAAGGCTGCATAAAATTGGTTTTTGTGGCTTATATAGTTTCCGAGATATTGAGCCTCAAATTGGAAATTTAGTTCAGAAATTGTCCAAAACTTCAAATTCGATTTTCTCAAAAACTTTGAAAGCCAGCGATTTCAACTAACCACCATCTGAAAGCCCTTATCAAGGGCTATAATCCATGAAAATTTTATTCCAGTACTGCTTGTGTTTACCGAGATATTCAAGATTGAAGATTTGCAAATAAAAATCCAAAGGGGGTAGCCCTAGGAAAGAGCAAAAAATTGAAAATTTTTATTTTTGAGTTTTTCTCAATTTTGACTTTCTCAATCGATAGAGCGAGTCCAAATTAGTGAGAAACAAGTCTAACATCACTTACATCCTGATGATTTCAATTAGAAAAAAATTCCAAAAGGAAATCTCAGTTTTGGCCCTGAGAAGTTTTTGGAATCCTGACACTTTTATGAATAAATGCCAATATCTTTGATGAGATTTGAACAAATGGCTAACAATTATACATCATTGGAAAGAGCATTAAATTCTCTATAAGGCTGCACAAAATTGGTTTTTGTGGCTTGTATAGTTTCCGAGATATTAAGCCTCAAAGTGGAAATTTAGTTCAGAAATTGTCCAAAACTTCAAATTCGATTTTCTCAAAAACCTTGAAAGCCAGCGATTGCAACTAAACGCCATCTCAAAGCCCTTATCAAGGGCTACAATCCATGAAAATTTTATTCCAATACCGCTTGTGGTTACTGAGATATCCAGGGTTGAAGATTTGCAAATAAAAATCCAAAGGGGGTAGCCTTAAAAAAAAAGAGCAAAAAATTGAAAATTTTTCTCAATTCTGACTTCAGAAATCGATAGAGCGAGTCCAAATTAGTCAGGAACAACTCTAACATCAGTTGCATTTGACAATTTCGCTGGGAAAAAAAAAATCCAGAAGGAAATCTCATTGCCGTCGAAATGTTTTGAGATCTGCGTGTCAAGATCTCATGAATAATTAATTGTTCATGTATTCTACATCTGAGAAATTGGCCCACAATTATATATCATTTGAAAGAGTAATAAATTCTCTATCAAGCCATGCAAAATTTGTTTTTGCACCTTCTATAGTTTCCAAGATATTGAGCCTCAATTTAATATGTTTGTATTTTTCTCATCTTTGACTTATAAAATCAATAGAGCGAGCTCAAATTACCCAGAAACAACTAGAACATCAGTTATATTTGGAAATTTCAATAAGAACCCGTCCTGACAGTTTATCAGAACCTGTATAAACTAGCTCTAAAATCCAGGAAAAGGATTTGAATAAATAAATTATTATACAAAGCATTTCATGTAAATATTTTATTAATTGTAATATTAGTACCATGTAATTAATTCTAGAGTTTTTGTCAGCATAATACAATTTCAAACGCTCAATTTTCTGAGCCCGCGTTACTTTTCTTCTTTCTCTTTGTTGCTGCCGGCTTCTTTTTTTTTCCCTGAAATCAGAAAAAACTTGAAATCGCAAACCCCACAAGCTTATCACACTTAAAACTTACCTACATTCAAAGCCAATCACTAATTTTACACATAAAAATCTACACAATGAAAAAAATGCGAGTCAGTTTAAAACACATATTATATTTTTAAATTGACTCTGCATCCAAATAAAAATACGCCAGTTATTAAATAGAAAATCTTTATACCAACCTTACCTTTATCCTCGCTCTCAAGTGGCCCTTGCGAGGAATCCGGACCTGGATAGACACCTGGGGATGATTGTTGCTGTGTCAAAGCAATAGCCCCACCATCGGGACCACCCTCAGGAGGTGCATAGGGATGAGCGCGACCCTAATAAATCTCAAGTTAATATAATTGTTGAATTAAATCTTAAAAAACGCTTTACCTGTGGCGGATAAGGAGGATAATTTTGAGGTGGTGGATAATGTCCGTAGCCAGGGTATGGATAGTTTTGCTGGTGGGGTGGATAGTTGGGATTTTGCTGGTTCGGTTGGTAGACTCCGTAGCCTTGGGGCGGGGGCGGTCTGGCTGGTAGAGGCACTCCTTGTTGCGGTTGTGGTGGCGGAGCAGCTTGAGGCGGATACTGTTGAGGATAGGGCTGGGGCGGCATCATCATAGGACCCAAATTGGTGGGCGGCGAATGACCACCTGCTGTGGAGGGTGGTTGAAGTGGGGCGGGCGCGTAGGAGTGTGGCTCTGGTTGCGGCACTGGTGCGATTGGAGATCTTGGAGGAGGCAGTTCAGGTTTTTCGGGTTCTTTTTGTTGTTGTGGTGGAGCTTCAGGTGTAATGTCCATGGGTTCAGGCTAGTAGGTAATAATTAATAAGTACCTATTTTAAATTATGTGATGGTAATTGTTTCACCTCAGTTTGTCCATTTTGTTGGGTAAAACTAACTGGAATCGATTCAGGGGTGCCGTTTTGTGCAGTTTTTTTGGGGTCTTCTTGTCCTTTGGTGCGTTCCTTTTTCAGTAGGTCGTACTGACTTTCAACCATTTTCAAGAAAGTGTCATCATCAACAGCGGGTTTACAGTGCTATATTGAAACAAGGCATTAAATTTAGATTTAAGAAATTATTTTATTATTATTATTACTTTTTTAAGTTCCTCCTGGAACTGTTCGCTGCTCTCTACAAATTTCCTCTTCTTTGCCTCAAATTTCTCTTCAATTTGTTGGAGTTCGGCTTCCAGTTTCTTTTGGTGCATTGTTAAAGATTGTACTTGTCTCTAGAATAACATATATTAGGAGTTTTTGAGGTTTGTTGGATTATTGGATACAACAAGAATTATAAAATTAGGTAGAAGAGATGGTTTGGTAGGGTTTACCTATTATATTTTGTTTTGTGTTAATTTATTCTCTTTAGTTCATGTATGAAGTTACCTGTCTGGGTGTAATTAAAGATTCTATGAAAAACATTATCTTGTTTCAATTGTTGTTCTAATATCTTATTTCCAATAGGGTTGGAGGATGAAACTTAGTAAGTAGGTATTCAAACAGGGGAACACAAAAGAATATTTAGGAATATACATTGATGAAAATTTTAATTGGAAAGATCACATCAACACACACAAATAATGTATATATTTTATGAATTAAGCTTTATTTTGTATTGTGTAGAGTCACTAATTACCTATATGGACTATGGACTTATTATAATTTAAGAATTAGAAGTGCAGCTAAGAATAATTTGGTGCAGCAAAACCCCCAGGCATACTGTATGTCACAATCATAATTATTATGTGGGTCCAAGGATATACAAGTCTACCAATGTGGATAAAATGAAGACCATATTACATATTAACAAACACTGGTTATTGTGGTAAGCTGGGGTGTCTCCAAACAGTGAACATTCAAAAGATACTTGAGTCTACTCATTTACTCAATTTTCCCTAAATTTCTGCTTTCCAATTCTCAAATTTTCCTGTTTAAATGTTTGTCTATTCCTGGCTCTTGAATTGTTTTCTTCAGAATACCTTTAAACAACCTGAAATAGAAAATAATAGCATAGTCCTCATGTTTACTCTATTAGAAGTGTTTTAGTCCCAGAAGGGAAAAGGTCATGATAGTTAAAGTCATTATAACTTTTCTAGACTTTTCCGCATTAATTTTCCTGGTTTTCAGACCTCTGGATTCCCTAGAGATTATCTGGAAGTTGATTAAGGCAAACTATCTACGAAAGCTTAAGCTTTCACTTTATATCAGAGAATACCTAGACAAACCCATTAAATCTGTGAAATAGTCGAATGATGGTTTTCTTCTCACAGATACTTCGGCTTTTTAGACATTTTCCTTGAATTTCTGAATTTTTGTCTATTCTTGGCTCTTGAATTGTTCCTTCTAAATATTTCTACATGAAGAAAATTCAAGAGCCTGGAATGGAAACAACATATAGGTACCTAATAAGTATACTTGTCTATTCTATATTCTCTTTCAATTCTCAAAATTTTGTCCATTCTCGGCTCTTTAAGAGTCTTTCAATAAATGTAAGAGCCGGTTTATTCACTTTCTAGTAAACTGCCAGGTAATGCAATCTGATAAAAACGCCACATGTACCTAATCCCATTGAACAACCAATTATTCAGTGACCAACAGGATTATAGATCTGTAAAGTTATTTTGCAGATAGTTACCAGCAAGTTTATCTCAAGATGAATAAACCGGGCTTAAGATAGAAAACATTGGATGTTAGCGAATACAATTTTAATACAAAAACAGAATTCATTCAAACATTTCAAATGTTGGAAGATGTTTTCCTGCAGGTCTATTCCAACATACATCCCAAACAGCGCTATGACGTCAGTCCACGTAGTGGACGTTTATTGGAACATGACATGAACCAACAGGTTCAAAAGTTACCATGTAAAATCTAATATGACCCACACACTGTTAATTTCAGTATGAAATTTAAGAAATATATGATTTTGTTTGAACACACGTATGACTTTTGGTTTAAAAAATTGCCCTGCCACATACACTTTGAAGCCTCACATCTCGAAAACTACTCGAGATATTGAATTCAAACCTGTTCTATCTTGAAAAGCATTCAATTCTGATTCGAAATTGTTAAATTTAGTATAAAATTTGAGAAATATTCATTGATTTCGTGTATACATACATACATATGCTCTTGCCACATACATTTTGAAGCCTCATATTTTGAAAACCACTTGAGATATCGGTTTCAAACTTGTTCTATCTTGTGGGGTATTCAATTCTGATTGAAAACTGTTAATTTCAGTATGAAATTTGAGAAATATTCATTGGGCTAAGAATGATTTTGTTTATACACACATATGACTTTTGGTTTAAAAAAATTGCCCTGCCACATACACTTTAAAGCCTCACATCTTGAAAACCACTTGAGATATTGAATTCAAAGCTGTTCTATCTTGAAAAGCGTTCAATTCTGATTCGAAATTGTTAAATTTAGTATAAAATTTGAGAAATATTCATTGATTTCGTGTATACATACATATGCTCTTGCCACATACATTTTGAAGCCTCATATTTTGAAAACCACTTGAGATATCGGTTTCAAACTTGTTCTATCTTGTGGGGCATTCAATTCTGATTCAAAACTGTTAATTTCAGTATGAAATTTGAGAAATATTCATTGGGCTAAGAATGATTTTGTTTATACACACATATGACTTTTGGTTTACAAAAATTGCCTTGCCACATACACTTTAAAGCCTCACATCTTGAAAACCACTTGAGATATTGAATTCAAACCTGTTCTATCTTGAAAAGCGTTCAATTCTGATTCGAAATTGTTAAATTTAGTATAAAATTTGAGAAATATTCATTGATTTCGTGTATACATACATATGCTCTTGCCACATACATTTTGAAGCCTCATATTTTGAAAACCACTTGAGATATCGGTTTCAAACTTGTTCTATCTTGTGGGGTATTCAATTCTGATTGAAAACTGTTAATTTCAGTATGAAATTTGAGAAATATTCATTGGGCTAAGAATGATTTTGTTTATACACACATATGACTTTTGGTTTAAAAAATTGCCCTGCCACATACACTTTGAAGCCTCACATCTTGAAAACCACTTAAGATATTGAATTCAAACCTGTTCTATCTTGAAAAGCGTTCAATTCTGATTCGAAATTGTTAAATTTAGTATAAAATTTGAGAAATATTCATTGATTTCGTGTATACATACATATGCTCTTGCCACATACATTTTGAAGCCTCATATTTTGAAAACCACTTGAGATATCGGTTTCAAACTTGTTCTATCTTGTGGGGCATTCAATTCTGAATCAAAACTGCTAATTTCAATATGAAATTTAAGAAATATTCATTGGGCTAAGAATGATTTTGTTTAAACACACATATGACGTTTGGTTTAAAAAATTGCCCTGCTACATGCACTTTGAAGTCTCATATCTCGAAAACTACTTGAGATATTTAATTCAAACCTGTTCTATCTTGAAAAGCATTCAATTCTGATTCGAAATTGTTAAATTTAGTATAAAATTTGGGAAATAATCATTGATTTCGTGTATACATACGTATGCCCTTGCTACATATATTTTGAAGCATCATATCTTGAAAACCACTTGAGATATCGGTTTCAAACCTGTTCTATCTTGTGGAGTATTCAATTCTGATCCGAAACTGCTAATTTCAGTATGAAATTTGAGAAATATTCATTGGGATAAGAACGATTTTGTTTATACACACGCATGACTTTTGGTTTAAAAATTGGCCCTGCCACATACACTTTGAAGTCTCATATCTCGAAAACTACTTGAGATATTTAATTCAAACCTGTTCTATCTTGAAAAGCATTCAATTCTGATTCGAAATTGTTAAATTTAGTATAAAATTTGAGAAATATTCATTGATTTCGTGTATACATACATATGCTCTTGCCACATACATTTTGAAGCCTCATATTTTGAACACCACTTGAGATATCGGTTTCAAACTTGTTCTATCTTGTGGGGCATTCAATTCTGATTCAAAACTGTTAATTTCAGTATGAAATTTGAGAAATATTCATTGGGCTAAGAATGATTTTGTTTATACACACTTATGACTTTTGGTTTAAAAAATGGCCCTGCCACATACACTTTGAAGCCTCACATCTTGAAAACCACTTAAGATATTGAATTCAAACCTGTTCTATCTTGAAAAGCATTCAATTCTGATTCGAAATTGTTAAATTTAGTATAAAATTTGAGAAATATTCATTGATTTCGTGTATACAGACATATGCTCTTGCCACATACATTTTGAAGCCTCATATTTTGAAAACCACTTGAGATATCGGTTTCAAACTTGTTCTATCTTGTGGGGCATTCAATTCTGATTCAAAACTGCTAATTTCAATATGAAATTTAAGAAATATTCATTGGGCTAAGAATGATTTTGTTTAAACACACATATGACGTTTGGTTTAAAAAATTGCCCTGCTACATGCACTTTGAAGTCTCATATCTCGAAAACTACTTGAGATATTTAATTCAAACCTGTTCTATCTTGAAAAGCATTCAATTCTGATTCGAAATTGTTAAATTTAGTATAAAATTTGGGAAATAATCATTGATTTCGTGTATACATACATATGCTCTTGCCACATACATTTTGAAGCCTCATATTTTGAAAACCACTTGAGATATCGGTTTCAAACCTGTTCTATCTTGTGGAGTATTCAATTCTGATCCGAAACTGCTAATTTCAGTATGAAATTTGAGAAATATTCATTGGGATAAGAACGATTTTGTTTATACACACGCATGACTTTTGGTTTAAAAATTGGCCCTGCCACATACACTTTGAAGTCTCATATCTCGAAAACTACTTGAGATATTCAATTCAAACCTGTTCTATCTTGAAAAGCATTCAATTCTGATTCGAAATTGTTAAATTTAGTATAAAATTTGAGAAATATTCATTGATTTTGTGTATACACACATACACTTTGAAGCCTCATATCTTGAAAACCACTTGAGATATCGGTTTCAAACCTGTTCTATCTTGTGGGACATTCAATTCTGATTCGAAACTGCTAATTTCAGTATGAAATTTAAGAAATATTCATTGGGCTAAGAATGATTTTGTTTATACACGCGTATGACTTTTGGTTTAAAAAAATTGCCCTGCCACATACACTTTGAAGCCTCACATCTCGAAAACTACTCGAGATATTGAATTCAAACCTGTTTTATCTTGAAAAGCATTCAATTCTGATTCGAAATTGTTAAATTTAGTATAAAATTTGAGAAATATTCATTGATTTTGTGTATAGGTACACATGTATGCCCTTCTGAAGGCTCTTCAACTTTTTACCAGGCATAATTGTTCTTTTGTTCTTCAGATGAAGAGTCAAGTGATCATGTTCTATATTGTAGCTGAAATGGTCATGCCTCCAAAGAATCATTAGGGGGCAAAGTCTTTAAAACAGGAGGGGTAGGGAAATTGTCACCCTGTATATATTTTTTTTATGGAGAATATGATGCACACGCAGTATTTTGCACCTAAGACATTGTCAATTATTATTATGTAGAATATAAATGTATTTTCTGCTAATAAATAGAATTGAGGAAAATTCCCTACAAGTTACCATCACATTCTACCCCATCTCACCTTCAGCACTTGCATTCTTCCAGTAGTCACCACTGATCTAACGTCAGGCACTACAGAGTCTGAGAAAATTTCATTGATCAACCTGTGATTTCTCAAATATCTAGCATAAGCTAAATGTTTCACTGAATACCCATCATCTTGATCTGCAAAATTCAATAAACCATTAATTTATTTCAAGTGAGTATAGTAATAATCACCTTCTTCATCTTCAGCAGGCTGAATCTCTATTCTCCTATCAGCCGAGGATTGTTTAGAAGAGCTGGTAGCTCTTTCGTGAGAGTCACCATCTGTACCTTGAGCAATTGATTTTCCCTTATTTTTTGCCTGAATGTAAGCTTGATAAGCTGGAGAACTGTGATATGTTTTCAGGGACTTTTCATATTCCGTCTATATATATTTTAATAAAAAATTGTAATAATTAGAATTAAAAACCATGTGTTGAGTACCTTCTCAACTTCATATTCCTCAATAAATTCTTGTTTTTCTTCTTCTGGCAAGTCCCTCCACATAGAGCCGATAATTTTTCCAATTTCCCATAGTTTTAAGTCTTGATTTTGAGCTTTCACTTGGTCCCAAACTTTCCTGCTGTACCTCATATAAGGCATCAATGGTTTTTCTGGAGCCTTGGGAGGTTTCAATATTTTAGCAGCTTCAGTTTTCTATAAAATGTGTTGATTAATATTTTTACTCATACAATTGTGGTAGTAACGAACCGCTTTTCCTGTACCAACTTTTTGTGGTATAAATCCTGTATTGCCTGATGATGGAGTGGATATAAAAGGATTGGTTTCTTTCTATTTTGGAAGAAAGATCATTATTTAGGGAATATATTGAATAATGAAGAGTTTACTTACATTAGAAGATGTCCCAGGGGTTCCTGAAGCCCTAAGCCTCTCTATAAAAATAAGTCATTTAAAATGGAAATACATAGAGATTGAAGCATATAACATGGAGCATGCCCTCTCTAATAAACTTACCTGGTAAGTTTATAAGCCTATAAGTTTAAGAGAGTGGTGTAAGCACTAAATTGTTAGAGCAAAAGCAAAAATGATACCATTTTAGTTACTATAAAGAAACTTGGAGACTTTTGATTGTAAGATTAGAATACACCACTAAACAATAGTTTGCTGTATTAGTCAAAAGGCTAAAGTTTCTCCTATATATACACAGAATAATGTGAAACTTTGGGTTAATTTTCATTTTTCCTCCACAGAAAGAAAACCAACCCAAGTTTTAGTGCCAGAATACAATGGGATTTACAATAAAAGGAATTTAAATTAAAGGCAGTTACCTTTCAATATGTTGAAAGTCATTGGAGCGCCAGCCGACATCAAATCTGAACAACAAACACAAAACAAAGCATGTCATCAGCACTAGTCTACTAAATTTGACCGACTATAAAGTCAATAATTTGAATAGAATAATATAAGATATAAATATAGGTACCTAAACATGCTTTAAAAGAGAATAAATAAATAACTCTAAGTGCCAGTTTATTCAGCTTCTGATAAACTGATAGATAGTTATCCAACAAGTTTATCTGAAGATGAAATAAACTGGGCCTAAAAGAAATAAATTGGTATTATAAAATCAATATTACTCATGCGATCTCAAGCGGATCTAAATCTTAAAAAATATACTTTATTTCAAAAACTCTTTTCTACTTAAAATTAATAATGCAGGGCTATCTTACGGTTTGATGACTGAGGGTTGACGACCTGCATAGCGATTTGCTTGTAGTTGGCTGGGAGGGCCATCCTGTAAAAGAGTTTTCCCAATTAAATTGTTCATACAATGGAACATTTCAATTACCTTACAGCTTACAGGAAAAACGTTGAAAATAACACAAACTATTGTTGTATTTTTGTAAAATCGATAACCCAACTACACGACAAAAGGCGTATTTTAGCGACAGGTAAACATCATACTACACATACTACGATTCATGACGTCATAGTTACCCAAATAACAGGTGGAGTGTATTTGACAAAGGGTCTAAGAGAGGACGCCATGATCGTTGTTTATTTGGATTTGTTGAATTTTGTAAAATTTAGCGTTTTCGAGTTTCAATATTTTCTCCAGTGAAGATTTTCGATAGATTGTGGTATTTTTGAATTTTATGGGTACCCAATGCCAAAAAAAAAATAAAATTACACTTTTGTGCACAAGTAAAGATTTTTAATTTTTTTTGCAAAAAATCTCTAAAATAAAATCACAGAAAACCATGGCAAAATGAGGAAAAACAATCCTCTATTTATAATGGAAAGAACTGGTTGGTAATCGTAGCGTAATCAGCTGATGTTTTGCCCATATGCTCATTTTTGTGTATTAGAAAAAGATGCACTGACATACTACAACCAGTAACTATCCCTCCTAGGATGTTTACATGTTTACAGCCGAGTTTTATGTTGTGACGTCATAGTATGTTAGCCATGCTCGCTAAAATGTAGTATCCCAAGTAAATACAACATACTACTGGGTTAAAACTCTCGCTAAAATACGCCTAAAAGCTTGAGCCAAACAAGACGCATGGGCCTTGCGATTCGGTTCCATAAGCGAGATCAGTGTTGCCAGATCACATTTTGTTTTATCAGTAGACTAGTACTACTAGTATAGACTATCAGTACCAGTACCAATGATTAAACTGTACATTAGACTATGAAAATTTGTATTAGAAAATCAAACACCAATACTAAGTACTTGAGAAATAGTTTATTAAGATATAAATGACTGTCGAGTCTTAAATTTAAGATTTCCTTGTTTCATGGTACCTATTACATATTTTTCGTAATACTAGCCCCAAAGTGTTTTGTTTTATTGGAATAGAGCCCCATTCGTTGGAAGATTTCCAAGAGTAGACACCCTATAGCTACGGAACTATTGGAGTTGCATTGAAATTATCAATAAAGCATTAGTAGAGTCTTTAATTTAAGCCTAATAATGTTTAAATCGGATTGAAATTAACAAAGTTATGATGTAAAATGGCTATATGGGTATAGAGAAAAAAATCAATATAGATTGATTCATTTTTTATCCCATAACTTTGTTAATTTCAATCCTATTTCAACATAATTAGGCTTAAATTAAAGCCAATTAAATTCTCTAGAAATACCTACCAAATAATTTCCATGCAGCTTCAATAGTTTTGTAGCTACCAAGCTGCAAAGTCTATAGACTTTAACAAAATAAGTAAACAAAAGTTATATACCTATGTTTTTTTCCTGAATATGAAGCTTTTCTTTATCCATTTTTTACATAATTTAATCAAATCCCTCCAACATTTTGGCATTTTGCTCAAAAAATAAATAAAACGACCCCCAATAGAGCTTGATTTCCTCAAAATGACATAGTCCCACATTTTAAAAACTTATAACTTAGAAACAGTGAGATTCTGGATAAAGCCATTTTGTAGGCAATTGAATCCTCTATCGAATGGAACATTCTTCATTGAAATCGGTCCAGACGTTCCAGAATTATGACCCATTTAATAAAACCATGTCAGGCTGGGAAAAGTTTCCCTAATAATTTTCTATTTTATTTTTTTTCCAGGCTTAGACGATGTCCTACGGGAAAATACCAAAGAGGTTTTCTTTTTTTCACCTCCTCTATACAGAAAAATTTTTGTTTTTTCGAAATTCTAAAATTTCGATTTTTCATTTCTTGCATATGGGAAAACATCTAAGAGGACCAAGCAAAAACTCCAGAAAAGTTTCCAGGAAAAAGAGGAAAGTGTGGAGATCATTATAGAAAAATTTCAAAATTTTTCAATAAAAACTCACTCCAGGAAAAATCCTGGAAAATTGACTTTAATCTACTAGAGTAAGATAGGACTATTTCCTTAAGGTTCAATGGAAAAAATACCAAAAACTCAAAGCAATTTGAGTTATTTATTAACGGAGTTATGATTTTTTGAAAATAATGATGTTTTGTACAGTGAGACTTGAATTTATCCACAGGAAATTTGTAGAGAATTCAATTACCCTTAATTCAAGCCTAATTACGTTAAGATCGCATTAAAATTAGCAAAGTTGTGAAGTAAATATAGTCAAAAGACTTTGAAGCTTGGCAGCTGCGAGACTATTGAAGCTACATTGAAGACATTCACAGGAAATTTGTAGAGAATTCAATTACCTTCAAGTTAAGCCTAATTACGTTGAGATCAACTTGGAAATAACAAAGTTGTGAGGCAAATTGGTTTTCCCTAATTTAGTTAAATTTTCACATTTTTTTCCTGGTTTTTCACTGAAAAATTTTGAAATTCTCCTGTAATGAGCTCCTCACCTTCCTCATTTCTTTCTGAAAAATTTCATAATTTTCTTTTGGATAGTTTTCCAGAAAAAAATTAATATACAAGAGGCTGCATTTAATTTAAAAAATACTGGAAAAGTCTAGGAAAATCGGAAAATTGAGGAAAAAAAAGTTGGTTTGGGGACTTTTTGGGATCCCCTCTACAAAATGGCTATCTTGAAATTTCAAAATTTTGACTTTGGTTTTTGGTCCTATACCTACGTACAGAAAACTCTGAAAATTACAAAAATTGAAACTTCAACCAGCTATAGCTCCGTAATGGTAAGTCCTATAGGAAAAATTCCAGTATATAGAAGAGGTGAAAACAAGCAGAAAAGCTATTTGGCATTTTCCCCTAGAACGTCTCCTAAGCCTGGAAAAAAAAAAAAGAAAATCTACGAGGAGGCTTTTCCAACCTGACATGGTCTTATTAAATTGGTCATAACTCTGGAACGCCTGGATCGATTTCAATGAATCATGCTTTATTTGAAAGATGATTAAATTTGCTACAAAATAGTTTCATCCAGCTTTCCAGATTTTCCCAGTTTCCTAGTTATAGGCCTTCAAAGTTGAAAATTCCTCAATTTTTCATATTCAAATCGGAAAATTAATCGGCCATTACTCTGGAATGCTTTGATCGATTTGAACGAATCATGTTCCATTCGATAGAGGATTTTAATGAGCCTAATTTCATTGAAAATAAACAATTTTTCTTAATTATTTAAATAATTTTAATAATTTTATTAGTGGCGCCATCTAATAATCAAGAGTCTAACTAAAAATTGAAAATTTATAGAAGTATATTATGACAGGAATCTGTAATTCGCATTTTTTGGCCCTCGGCCATTTTGTTGGAAAATTTGCATATTTTATCAATTATTTTATTGGTTGTATCGGTTTTTCCTAATTTTAATTGCCTAAAACAATATTAATTACCTTATTTTGCATTAAAATCAATTAGTTACCATTACAAGAATCTGTAATTGGCAACTTTGGCCGCTCGTTGATAGATGGCGCTAGTAGTTTATATAATTAGTTTTTTCGAATTATTTATTAATTTCAATAGTTTTTCCATTGATTACTTGCTTTATATGTCTATACAGGGTGTATATTTTAAGTGATACCACTATGGCTATATCCGAAACGGTAAGAGCTATAAGGTCGGTTAAATTAGAAAAAAGTTGCCTTTTTTGATGCTCATTCAACACTTGTTTACAGTGTTGCCAAAGTCCTTTTAGTTTATGAAATACAGGGCAATTTATAAAAAAGGCCTAAAATTATTTCATCAATTATTTTGAAAACTATTGATATTCGGGACACAATTTAAATTTGAAAGTTTTATAATTTTTTTCGCTCTACAACATGGCATCTTCAAATTTTAAATCCGACGTTTAGTGATCGGGATACCATCATCAACTTCATTTTTTTAAATACGGACCTGGATTTTTTATGTCATTTTTGGAAAGAGCGAAAAAAATGATAAAACTTTCAAATTTAAATTGTGTCTCAAAAATCAATAGTTTTCGAAATAAATGATGAAATATGTTTGGACGTTTCTTAGAAATCACCCTGTATTTCATAAACTAAAAGAAATTTGGCAACACTGTAAACGAGTCTTAAATGGGCATCAAACAAGGCAACTTTTTTCTAATTTAACCGACCCTGTAGCTCTTACCGTTACGGATATAGCAATAGTGGTATCACTTAAAATATACACCCTGTATTTATTACTTTTTATTAATATTAAATTATTATTCTCTTATAAATCGATTGATTATTGTTTCAGAAATTTGCAATTTTCAAATTTGGACAGTTGGAGATTTTATGCAAATGTAAGCATTAATTAGTTAATTTCAATGCCTTTTTCAATTATTTGTTTATTGAATATTAACTATACGTAATTAAGCGTCATTTGCATGAAAATCGAATTAGTTTCATTAAAGTTTTGGCTGTTCGTTAATAGATGGCGCCGGCAACTTTGTTGTGTGGCGTCATTGTTCCGTAGTAGCTATAGTTGATCAATTTTTACATTTTATTCGATAATTAATCAATTTTGTTAATCTAACTAATCGGAAATCGTCTAAAATAATTATTTTTGGCAATAATTGAACATTATTTGTTTATAAATACATTTAATTATTATTACAGAAATCTGTAATTTGCACTTTTGCTGTATGCAACATCCTCTTTTAAATTAAAAGCGCTTTTTAAAACTGGTACCTTTAAAAATTTCTATGGCTTAGAATACACATTTTTAAAAGTGACCAGTTTTAAAAAGCGCTTTTGAGTTAAAAGAGAATGTTGCATACAGCTGTAAATATTTTGTCAATTATTTAATTAGTTTCAAAGTATTTATTGATTAAAATTGCCTAAAACGATAATAATTAACTCAATTTACATTGAAATCAAATCCTTATATTACAGAATTCTGTATGTATGATGAAAAATGGCTACATGGGTATAGAGAAAAAAATCAATTTACATTGATTCATATTTTATCCCATAACTTTGTTAATTTCAATCCGATTCCAACATAATTAAGCTTAAATTGAAGCCAATTAAATTCTCTACAAATGCCTAATTAATAATTTTGATGCAGCTTCAATAGTTTTGTAGCTCCCAAGCTGCAAAGTCTATAGACTTTAACAAAATCAGTGAACAAAAGATATATACCTATATTTTTTTCCTGAATATGAAGTTTTTCTTTATCAATTTTTTGCATAATTTCAATCAAATCCCTCTAACATTTTGGCATTTTGTTCAAAAAATTAATAAAGACGACCCCCAATAGGG